CTGCTGTTGCCTTCTGTCGTCTCCTTCCGTTTCCTGCGAATCCTCCAGCGACAATATTTTTCAATTTTCTCCAGCAATCGAGCGTTGATAACAAACTAATGTTGAGTGCAGTTAAGTTGCTGCTGCTGCTGCTTCTGTGGCTGAAACAGACAGCAAACAGGGCTGAAAGCTGATGAGAAATGAAAGCAGCGGGTTATCGGACCTTCATCGCAGCATTTCCCACAGTCGCAATGGTCTGGGCTTCGCTGGGTTCATTTTTCCAGCATTCCTTTCAGCCGAATCGCAAGTGGGTCCACCCAAGTAGGAGTCTGTTTTTGTGTTCGGCTGACTCCATCCGATATCCACGTAATAGCAATCAGCGAATTTCCATTTTCATTCATTCCCAAAACTCGTGATATTTAAATGCGCGCAAATGAATGCACGACTCAGTTGGGCAGCGAAATGAGTGTAAGTGCTTTCCATTTGAACTCGCTTAATGTTGGTTTAATTAAAAAGAGAAAAGAATTTACAAAAATATATGTATATGTATAAGTATACGTACAAGTGTGTCGTTTACCAATGAAAAACAATGAACATTAAATGGACAATGGAAAAACAACGAGTTCGTCATCGCAGTTGCTGCTGCTCTTTGGTGTGTTGGCTTCCCTTTCCTTCCCTTCCCTTCCCTTCCCTTCCCTTCCCTTCCCTTCCCTTCCCTTCCCTTCTCTTCCCTTCATTACCCGCATTTAAATCAGTGGCCCAGTATAATCACAATCAAAATGTATGCAAATTGCGCTGAGTGGGGCATGGCTCCATCCAATTTAACTGATTTTTTTCCAACCCCCCTGCCAGTTGATGAAGAGCCGGGATGAACAGGAATGCAACTCCAGACAACGCAGCCAATCGCGCGAAAGGTTTCCACGTATGTGTGCATGAAAATTAATTAACAGCGTTAAGTTGGATGGAAACGAAATGAAAGGAATTTACGTTGGAATAATTAAAATGCTGCCACAGTGCAGGGAGCTGCAATAGCTGCAGGAATAGAATAAGGAATTGTGCTGCAGTGGAACTGGAATCAATTTTGGAATTTTTGCAGCTAACTGCTGCTCACCCATGAATTATGCTTGGCTGCTTCCGTGGCCGTGTCCGTGTTCCTTACTGTTTCTTGCTGCCTGTCGACGCCTCATTACCAACGGTCGCTCATCTCTGTCCAATCCTTGCCAACTGCACAAACACAGATAAACTTTTACGGTGTGAGGAGCAAGCTGTGCGCTCTCTCTTCTTTCGCGTGTCTGGGATCCGGTTACGGATACGGGTGCCTGGCTCCTAGTCCTTGTTGGTGTTTGCCTTTGGAGTGCACTTTAAGCACCGAAGTTTGTTAATGCGAATACGTGAGCGTTGCTCAGATTCACGGAAAGCGGCCCATCAACTTAGAACTGGCAGCTCCATCGACACGTGGTCTCCACCTCCTGCCTTAGGATTAGGAGCAAAAGTTCGAGGTGCTGGCAAAACTATTCAGAAACAACAAAGGAAACGAGCTGTCTATTTTCATTTTCGTTGAAGCAAATGTCGGAAATCTCGTAATGCCAGAGATGCAGCAGCGGCTCCTGCCCTCACCTGGACACACAGCCAGCTCCTGGACTCATTATTAATGTTCCAACTTCGATATGCCTCAACCTCCATCCATCCCCGTCTTAGCTTATGTAACCCAAAATGGGTGGCATCATTGTTACGCCAACTACTACTACCATGGCCGCCAGCTAATGATGGCGGAGTGGGCCTCTCTCTGCCTATGCCCAAGTGTTGGGTGGGTGGTTGGTCTTGGTCTTGGTCTTGGTGTCAGCATTAATAAATTCTGCACGTACTGAGCCCTCCATATAAATCTGTTTCAAGCATATCCTTGAAAATTGCAATTGCAAAGCAGCAGTTGCCGCCGCAGTGGTGCGAAAAAGAGGAACAGCGCAGAGCCAAGACAGGCAGGCAGCTTAGAAAAAAAAATAGATTTGGTGTGGGGCACAAATGCAGGCAACAAAACAAAAGAGAAAAAACTGAACGCGCCGCTTTCCAGGCTGTGAAAGAACAAAAAGCAAACTTCCAGTCAACGGAAACAACGGACACGACGACGAGGACAACGACGATGTCGAAGACGCCGAAGTCCCTTTTGGGGACCTGCCCCACGCAAACAAAAGCAGAGACTGGGTGTGTGGTGTGTGCTCTGTTGTGGGTGTGTGGATAAAGCCACGGATAAAATGTCCTTTGAAGGGGAAAGGCCAACTGCAACAGTTTGTGCTCACTTCCAGCGCCTGCGCAGCTCTAGCCACCAGCCAGAAACGGTCCGAGCAACAGCAACAGGCTGAAGAGCAGCTCCACACACACACACACACACACACCAAAATAAATCTAACTGAGAGAGAGGGGCTGTGGCTGTAGCCCTGCCTGTGGCTGTATAAAAATTGCAATGCGAGCTATGCATTTATATGCGATAGTCCATGCCCCAATGGCCTGTTCATGGTAGATACGTTTATTCGCTCTCCGTGAGACCGAAAGTTCATCGAATTTGATTATTGTTTTCCATGGATATTTCAGTGTCGGAGTGGACTGCTTCTGGCGCTGATAAAGTGCTTGATAAATGAATCTGCCCGTTAGGCGCAATGGAGCTGCGCTCCAATGCAAAACCAACTAAACTTTCAAACAAAACGGAATATTATGCAGCGGCACAAGTCCGTGTCCTCCTTTGTCTTGGGACTTGTGCTTGGTGCCCGATCCACGGCTCTCTCTTTGTGGCACCAGCCAGCTGCTGCTGCTGCTGCTGCTGCTGCTGCTTCTGCTGTGCTGTGCTTATTTAATATTTATGAAAACGCATCATCTGCACAGCACGTTCCATTATTTGCCAGATAACTCAGCAACGGGCGGCGGCAAATAGCACGCCAAGCACGCGTCCAAGCACCACCGCCACAGTCTGTAGACTCGCAGACTAGCTGCCACCTCTACCTGGTCATAGGTGGTGTCGCCGCCTTCTGCGTGTGTCTCCGCCATGTGTGGCGTGGCTGTGTGTGCTTGCTGCACAAACAAACAGTGGACATTTTTCAAAAGGTTCGACGACTAGCAGCAGCATCCCTACAGGATTTATGTGTGTAATGTGAAAAATTCTTAGCAGCAAATGCTGTAAATTTATGTGTGGCACCCACTCGACCAGAATGTGTGCTGCTGGTGCCTGGAATGTCTGTGTGTGTTTGCCCGAGGATATTTGTGTTTAACCAAGCATAATCCTATTAAATGTGACAGGGGACGACAATTGGCCGGATTTTTGGCCACGACAGCGATGCTTGTACTCGCCCTTGCAACCAACATCCGGAGGGGGCAGCCATCAGCTGCATTGTCAGACCACGACCACTGGACTGTATTAAAATATGACAAACTGTTTTTGTTATGTCCCCCCCCCCCCCCACAGCTACACGTCTACACTGACAGAAATAAAGGGTTACAGTTGGACATTAATGGTGCTACGCATTAAAGAAATTGTTTCAAGGGGAAACTCTTACTTTTCCCGAGTGTATTTAATGGACGATATGTCTGCGTGTGTGTGGCTGCCACCCCCAACATCCGAAATGAGATTTTGATTAATGCGTCGAGCAGGGGTTGGATGTTGCGGCGGTTGCATTAGCGTCATTGCCGAAATGCCCGCAGCACTGGAGGAGCAGCTTCTGCATGTGAAGGGCTCCCCAAATGCAAATCCAAATGCAACTGCATCAAGTGGCAAAAGAGGGGGGCTCAGGACGGTCAAGGGCACGCGGAGGGAGACTCCCACATTCATTTGTCTTACTCATCGCAGCGCAGGAGAGTCGAGAGCACCCAGGAAGCTGCCAGGCACAGGAGCATTGCACTTGGCACATGCAACATGCAGCAGGCAGCAGGCAGCAGGCATGAGTGCAACATCTACGTCAGCAGACTCCATGCTTTCCTCAGAGCATTCAACAGAGCTTAATTCAATTGGTGGGCATGGAATATTTAAAATGCTGACGCAAGTGCACCTCAGTGTAAGTCTCTTCCCCTCTCTCTCTGCCTCTGTCTTTCATATGTTGCGCACTCCAAATCGTATTATGCAGCGTGCACAAAGTAGGCAACGTGAGTTGCCCCCATCCCATCCCTTTCCGCCTGCCCCAGGGACTCTACACGTTTGCTTTCCGCTCCAAACTTATCCTACGCATACTCGCGCACTCGTCCTCATGTTTCCTATGATGTGAGCATAGAGCATGAGCCCTGAACGAATTCTAACGATTTTCACATTAGCAATACGCCCCGTACCACGCCCTCGGACCTCGTACGCTTCTGGCAGCTGTCTATCTATTTGACTACCTGAACAGACGATGTCGGAAGACATTCTGTTGTGCGTTCTAGTTGCAGAACTCACACTCCCACACTCCACTCCCCATTCCCACTGCCGTTCTCTAAAGTGGCAGCGTCTTCCGCTTTGCCATTGACTCCACGACAGCCTCGGGGGGAGGCATCCATCCCACTCGTGGTACATTTTTCACATGTATCTCATAGGAACAAGTTCCCATGTTGTTCAGCTTTAACAATATTTTAAATATGCCTTTCAAGGGAAGTGCGTTGTGCGATATGTCAATGTGTGTCTTTGCTGGTGTGATGTGGGTGCGCGTGGCATACCTGTTACATAAATCACTTACCCCACAGCAGCAGAGGCAGTATCAGCATTTGGCTGTATATTAAAAAATATACGCAAATAAATATCTGCCTATTTATAGAGCTGCGCTGCCAGTGCGGTGCTGTGCCAAATTTTCGATCCTATTTTTGGTTGGATTTTAAGCCGCACAACTGGTGGCTGGAAAATATTTGTGTCCAAAATCCATTTGACATAATTGCACGCCCACGGGCCTGGCAACGACATGACAGCGGCAATCCTGCTTGAAAGAGATTCATCCTGTGTAAGCTTACAGCCAGGCCACTGCCACTGCCAATCCCCATTAAGTACAGCACAAATTGAAGATTGAAAACAATTGTTTGGCTTTAAATAAAAATGCATACAATTGGTTTATTATCATTCGCTTTTTCATCTCTTTCGGTTCGGTTCGTTTCGTTTTGTTTTCGATAAAAAGTTCTGAGTTTACACACTAAATATCATAGGTATTACATAAAATTGCTTGTATTGTAAAGATTTTTAACATTTACATATATAAAAGTTGCAACTGAAGTCGCATTAGGATGTCGAACAGTTCCCACTCGTATGGTGGTTGTGCTTCTGCATTGTGTTTACATGCTAGGGATTACAACTGGACGATTGGATGCACTTACAGTTTGCTCTATCAATTATTATCTACGATATTTGATTTGTGTGTTCCTTTCGCTTATGGATACAACTACTAAGAGGGGGATTATGCCCCAATCGGAATGCTGAGAGCAGGATCAGAGTCACATCATCGTGAAGACCGTGCCGCTGCCGCTGCTGCTGCTGCTGCTGCTGCGACTCGTTTTATTTCTTGTGCTAAAACATAAAATGTAACGATAAATTTAATTGGCGGAAATTAAAACGAAAGCCCCTTCGGAATAATGATGCAGGAGGGAAAAAACTAAGTATACGTACAGTATGCAATATGCAAATGATATTGTTAAATGCAAACAAAATGAAATTATTTAATTCAATTAAATAAGATTTTTGTTTCTGGTTGTTGTTTATTAATATATCGTTCAGGCGGATGGTCTTTTGTGTGGTTGCTGCACAACATTAAAATTTACGATTAAACTCTGGCAAAATGTTCATCCTTTTTGTTGTTGCTGTTTTCAATGAAAGTATTTTTGCTTCATGATTAGTAACAAATGAGTTTTTTGTAAATGCAGGGAACATGTCGTTATTTGCACAATTAATTAAAAATATCAGTACATAGGCGTACATTGTACATACACATGTACATACATATGTATTATCTATTTACATATGTATACATTTAGTGGGGAAAATCATGAACAGTGTCTGTGTCTGTGTCTGAGGGTGTGTGTGTGCGTGTGAAGTGGGAAATCACATACGAACCGCATGGCGTATACGCAATTTCATCTACTCCATCCATTCTTTCTGTTTTCCTTCTTCCTTTTCCTATTTCTTCTTTCCTTTGCGCTTGTTCTTGTTGCGGTTATTGCTGCCATTGCCATTGCCGCCCCGATTGCTCTGCTGTTTGTTGGTGGAGCTCTCTGGACGGGGAATGCCACTGGTAACAATATTGGACACTGTCCTCGTGGTGGTCACCACACTGGTGCTCGGCTCTCCAGCTAACGCTGCCGCTGCCGACGAGGATGCTGCTCCCTGTCCAGCACCACTTACAGCCTCTGTGGTCGTGGTGGTTGTCGTGATGGTCTCGGCCTGCTGCTGGTCAAAGATCTGGCGCTCCGCCTCGCCGGCACTCAGCAGACGATTGAACAGAGCCTCGCCCGACTCCGAGGACACCTTCTTCTTTTGCTTCTTCACAACCTCCGTGACGGTTACCACTGCCGCACTGTCGCTGGCAGCGGGCAGAGTGTAGGTGCGCTGCGTCTCCACCACAGTGGCGCCATCGGCGCTGAGCAAATCTTCGACAGACTTGCGCAGCTGCTTTGAGATCTCGGCCAGGGCACGCTGCTCGGCCTGCAGCTGGGCCAGAGTGTCGGCACTGCACTGGGATGCAGCCTCCGCTTCGGCTTCGTGATCGGAGTGCTCCTCCTCGGCCTGCTTCATGGTGGTGTAGGTCTGTGACTTCTGGAGCTTGCTGCCGGAGGCCAGCGTATTGAGATTCTCGATTACCTGCGCGCCCTGCACATAGGTAACATTCAGCTGCTCCTCGGCATTGTCCTCCTCGTCAGAGTCGTCGCTATCCTCGTCCGATGAGTCGCTGCTCTCGTCCTCCTCCTCGTCGTCATCCTCCTCATCATCATCGTCGGACAATTGGCCTGCCAATTTAGCAATGATTGTGTTGCGGTTGCTGTCCTTTATCAGCTCCTCGAGCAGCTGCTGATTGCCGTTCGCGGCATCATCCTGGTCATTAGTTGCACGGGTCGTGACCGGGGCACCGCCAAAGTCAACAACATCGTCTATGGCATCACCGTAGGCGCTCCTCTCATCATCGTCCCTCGCATCACCGAAGGCATCCTCCGCATCCTCGTCATCGTTGTCGCTGTCGCTGTCGCTGTGCTCCTCGAGGCTCTTCTGTAAATTCAATTTGACGCGCTCATTCTCCAGCAGCTCCTCGAGCACAGTTTTCATTTTTGCATTTAATGACAACTCAGACCTGCCGCCCACAACGCCTCCGCTCTGGGGCAGTACAAATGTTTCGCTACGCAGCACCGACACGGCCCCCTGCTCGAATTCCTCATCGTCAAATGGCACCCCGCTCACGTGGATGGTGCGGGCATTGCCATCGCCCCCGATTACGGGATTTAGTACCTCTACGATGGTCGTCTCCTTGGCCAGTGTCTGGTGGAGGGAGAGCGGCGTGGGCTTTATGCGCACCTTGCCGGATGCGACGCTCTCGATGGAGGACGGACCGTAGGCATCCGAATCGTGACGCAAAAACAGTTTCTCATTATTTCCCTGGACGGTAACAATAGAGGCAGTATCTTCCTCCTCCTCCTCTTCATCATCCTCTTCTTCATCTTCATCCTCTTCGTAGTCGTCGTCGTCTTCGTCTTCATCTTCTTCCTGCAGCTCCAATGGCGGCTGTGTCTCATCGAGAGTGCCATCCTCCGATTCGGGCACTTGGAGCTCCAGTGAAATGATACGCTCCTTGCAGGTCTCCACCTAAGTACAAGGGGGGAGATGCGGATACGTTGTGCATTTGGTTTTGGCCAGCACACTAACAACTAATGAAAGCAACCAAAGAAAGCAACAGGCAGCAGGTGTGTCCCCAACCAGAAGAAGCTTCTACCAATCTACATGGTGTTTGGTGTTCAATTCCAATGAACATAATTTGTACAGCGTGGTGGAAGATGAACATCTTGCGAATGGGTGAAAGGTTGCATGTGGAGTGTGTGTGTGTGTTCCGTAAGCCAGCCCAAAAACAGAAGGTGATGTTAGTACAATGAAATGTGAGTTAAAGATGGTTACAACCTACAGGAGAGTGCGAGGTGCAAGTCATTAGTAATTGTGGAATGAAAAGAGCAGAGGGGGAGCGGAGTATGTGCAAAACTTTTTCTACTAGAACTAATCTGATCTGATCGGAGCCAGTAGATGACTGGCTGTCTGGCCGTCGACACGAAATCTCTAGGTAAATGTGAGGTAGGCACGCACGATGGCAGCCATGTCGTATACGTGATATGAGGAAAATTGACAAACGACTGCTTCTGGAGAAAATTGCCTGCATTTTCTACTTGTCAAAGTAAAAGAGTCCTGCACCGGAAGATAAGCTGAAACTAAGTCCTGCAGCTCCTCATGCTACTGCCGCTGACAGGCGCTGTGTGCAATCGGAGAACAGAGGCTGGCTGCCTGGCTGCCTGTCTGATGGCTCCTGCAGGCTTCCTGCGGTGCAGTGGGGTTCGGTTCGGTTCATTCTGTGCAACGGGGTCAGCCTCTGGCCAGGAGGCTCACAAGGCAAGGCAAGGCAAGGCAAAAGTTTCTCTCCAGCAGTCTGCCTACAGCAAAAGTTTTTTGCACTCGAATTACCCGGCATGAAACCACAACCAGCTTGTGCTGGGGCCTCATCTTCAGTTTCAGCTGCAGCTGCAGCTGCAGCTCCAGGGCCAGTGGATGACATTCTTTTGGTAGTGGCTGGTGGGGCTGGGCTTTTTCGATCTGATGGCCTTTCCTTCCGTTGGCAAATTGAAAAGCAAATCAGAACCGTTTCCGAACCGAAACACGTGCACCCAAAAAAATATAACAATAGCGCATAAAATACTTTGCGTGTTTGTTGCTTTTTCTCGGGCTTTTATTTGCATTCTCTGCGATACTCTTTGTAAGAGGGTATTAAGTCTTTGACCAGCTGTTTGCTGTTTATTCATGGATGGTACCTCTTTATATATTCCATTCCTATAACTAATATTGGACCAATCTATCTGCTAGAGTATCAAATGCTTCGACCCTCTGGCCATTGTTTTCTTAGATTTATTTATTTTGAAAGTCATTAAAGCGGAGCTGCGCCGCAAAACAAAAAAACTTTTGCTTTAATTTTAATGGAGTTGGCCATAAAAAGCTTCGCGTCATTATAATGCGTTTGCATACTACAAATGGTATCCAGAACCAAGCCCAGGCCCCCAAAATGACGGTCGTCTGCGTCGTCAGACTGTTGTTGTCGCTGCCGCTTTATAGACACGTGACAACAACAAACCCTAAAACAGACAATGAAATTCTTTGAGGGTTCGAGACCCTGAAGTTGTGGTATGGTGGCGGGAGATGCTGTCTTAAAACCGCGACACTCAAGCATCAACAATAACTGGAAATGATTTCAGACCCCGCGCGCGTACACTGAGACTCTCTGACTCTCGACGCTGAAAACCTTTTCGCGTAGGTGGCTAACAAAAGTGGCTTATTGTCCTTTTTATGCGCTGCACTTCAGCCGTGGCTGGCAGGAATGGATGGAGGATGGGGACGGCTGGGAGGCTGGCTTCGTGGGTGTTCTCCTGACAGCGACCACCTGGCCGCGTAAGCCGGAGAAATGTCAACAAAATCCCCATGGCAGCCGCGAGTGCTCCGCGGATATTAAAATTTGTTTTACTCAACAACATTCAAGCCGGAGACACTGAAAGACGAAGACTTTCCTGAAGAGAATGCACACAACAAACAAAAGGCTGGCAGGAACAGGACACGACCTCGACAGGCCATAAAAATGATGAGCTCTATAAAATAATTAAGACTGTGCGGGAGACGGGATTGACAGGGAGTCCTACGCGTGAGATGTTTGCTTTGTACAATGAGAGACGAGTGCTGCTGGATCCTTTCAAGTGCTTTGTGGGTGTGCATTAAATGTTTAGGAGTGTGCAACCTGATAATTACGCCACGCAACAATCAACTCGCAGATGAAAGACGCACAAATAAAAACCGAATAACAGCTTACAAAAAAAAAACCAAATGATAGAGTATCTAAAACGCTCTAACGAAACTCAAGATTGGTGCCAATTATAATATGTACAATACGGATTTTGGATTTAAATTTTGATTTTGGATTTAGCTAACCTCCGTTTCGATGATTTTCTCAATGTACTCGACGGTGCGCAGTTGAGGTCGCCCCGTGATGGGGCAGGCAACCTCCTCAGTGCGGCGCACAATTTTCTCATCGAGTATTTTCTCGCGTTCGCGTACAATGACTGGACCGTCGCTTGATTTTATGGCAATTTTTGGAAATACTATTTTCGGCTGAGCCTGATTAGTGGGTAAACAATAACAGAGAGAGAGGGAGAGAGAGAGAGAGAGAGATGGAGGGGACGTCAGATTGGGTGAGTGAAAGATAAAGATAGAATTTTGATTGGAATATAATTGGAGGCGAGCACTTCAATCCATCGCTATCCCTCTCAACATTAGTCACATTCGACAGGGTTTGGGGGTTTAGTTTGCGCTGGGGTTATTATTATAATTATTATCTTGCAGTTAGTAAAGCAAACCATATGTAGTAGCTCTTTTCTTGGTTATATTCTCAGGCAGGATCGGGCCATTCCTCGGGCATGTCGCGCGCATGTTAATGGATTTATGGTTGTATTTTTGTTGGGGTTTTGTTTTCGCTATGGGTTTGGGTTAGTGCTCAAGATCAGCAGACCTGAGGATGGACTTACCTCGCTGGCCCTGGACTCGTGTGTGATCAGATCATCGGTCACCTTGCGCATATTCTTGATGACATCCTGCGCCTCGACGGCGCCCTGTTCGAGCGAACGTAGACGGGCTGCCCGCCAAGAGGCACGCTTCTCAGAGCTACAGTGAATGAAAGTAAAGCCATTAGATGTGTCTTTGGGTGTTGTGGGCAAGAGACTACTGACTACGGCCAACAGACAGAATCTCAACTCCAGCTGAAGCAAAAATAATTACAAAATGTGTCTATTTCTATTGTATTTACACAGAGATACAGAGAGAGTATAGGAGTGGTGGGAAGTGGGTGTAAGAGTGGGTGTGGCCCGCACAGTCACCGCAAAACTAATACAAAGATGGGCGGGGGAAAGGTGTTCCATCAACTGATGGATACTATACAAGGAGGATACATTTATATATACGGAAACATTGAAGGATTCATATTTGCCTCTCCTTTGTGAGTTTGCTCGTGTGTGTGGGTGGGTGCATACTTGTTTTGTGTGTGTTTGTGTGGCTGCGGTCGAACCCAAATGGGGATTGTCTTTGTCTATTAGCCCTTGGATTAGCTACGCCTACAGCTGCTCTGTACGGGTCAGATGCTTGACCTGTGACCTTTCAGCATACACCTTGCACGCATGTCAACTCTTTGACCGGCACGCATATAACTTACTTAATCATGGAACGGCTCTTGCCCGTGGGCGTTGTGGGTGACGCCGGCGTTGCTGGCGACTCGCCCTGGAGCCGCTCCTCCTCCAGCCGCCTAATGTACTCGTCGACACTGAGGCCCGACTGCCGAGCGGCCGCTGCCAGGGCGCGGCGTTCAGCCTTCAGGGTGCGCACCGGTATGCGGCTGCTGCTGCTGCTGCTAGTGGTGGGAGATGTGGCCCCCAGATCCTGCTCCTGCTCCTCCTCAGTCGCCTGAGGACGCCATACCTCCTCGGGTATGGTGGGCTCCTCGGGCTGGGATTGCTGCTGTTGCTGTTGCTGGTGCTGTTGCTCCTGCTGCTGCTGCTTGAGGCGCTGCTGCAGTGCTGGCGGAATGACAACTTTGACCTTTGGCTTCGGCAGCAGCGAGGGCTTGGACGGATCAGTCGCTGTGGCAGCTGCCTTCGCCTCTGCTTTTGCTTTTGGTTTCTCCCTCTGCTTCTGCTTGGGGATTTTGCTGATTTTGCTGGGCGCGTGCGGCATTGTCGGCGCCAGACTTTGTGCGGTTCTGTCATAATTTTGAGATTTGTTTTTGTTGTTTTTTTTTTTTGGGGGTGTTCGAATTGTGCAAAGTAAAACACACATTTAATCATAAAGAAATTTGCATGTTGTTTTGACAAGAAAGGGGATGTCGGTGGTGGTGGATGGCGAAATGCGGTTAGCACGTGATATGAGCTGTTACAGACACAATGACGTTAACTTCTTTTAGCCACACACTCACATGTATGTTATGATATGTACGTGCCCTGACTTTCCCCCAGTGACCGACTTACCCAGCGACTCAAACTTTAGGATAACAAGTCGAATTTGTTGTAATTAAAAACCAAGAAACATACTGTAAAGTTTCTCCCCATCCCCAGTGGCAGTCCCTGACAAAATCACTTTTTGAAAAACTTTCCCAACAAGTGCAATAACATGGCAGCTGGAGATTAGCCGACTCGGCTCCTCCTTCGAGCAGCGGCATGTCTGTGTGGAGTCGTAAAACTTGGCAAACGTCTCGCACCATGCATACGCGTCCTTGTATAGCATAGTAGATGGTATGCAAAATTTAATTTTAAATAAAGCGTCTGAGAACTATTTCTGCAAGAGGTGCTTTTTGTATTTATTTTATTTCTGTCTAAGCTGCCGTCGGATCTTCTTCTATCCTTGGGTTCTTCGTCTCGGTCTCGTCGTTCTATTTTTCTTGCACCCAACTCTGGCTTTTGTTTTAAACAAATTGCTACACACTTTCAATTTAACTTTAATACGAAATTATTCCGCACATAGCATGGGCTTTGGCTTTGGCTTCCTCTTCGTCTAAAACTACTGCCATACTACACGGCGTTAGTGGCAACAACTTCTGCTTGAGTGATTTATGTTTTTCAATTTGAGCAGCGCCGGCGTCTGCGAGGGAAAGTTTTTCGTTTGGAGCATTTTCACTACCTACGAGTGTCACGGCTCAGAGCCTCAGGAGAAGGGCAGGCCAAGTCTTGACCCAGGGAATTGCACTTATAATATTCTCCTGATTCTCTCTTCTTGCTCATTTCTTGAGCCTGCCATTTGCTTGGCGCTCCGCTCCGCTCCGCTCCTCTTATTCATTCATTTGTCCTCTCGACTTTTAAATGAACTTTGCTCTGACACTCGAGCGCGTACCGGCATACAATGGTTCCGTCCTGCAAGTATTTGAGCGCTCTCAACCTTTGCAATTGACAGATTTATGCAGTGGGCCTCCCACGGAACAGAACTTTTCCCCTCCGCAGGAACAAAAAGAACTCCTCCACAAGTGAACTGGTAGATTGTTGCCCGCTTTCAATTGCTAATTGCTGAACTCCCCCGTCTCATTATAATGGAGGCCAGTCCCCACCCGACTCGTTCCATAATATAAAACACTTCCAATAAACGTCCGAGGCACAGATTAATAAGTAGTTATGTGGGTGGATGGGTAGAGTGGGTGGAAAGGTGGAAAGTTGGGTGAAGAACGATGCAGAAACCACAACCGAAGAGTGTGCTCAAAAGTTGGTTAAAGTTCAAACAATTATGCAACGGTATAAAGTAGAAGCAATAAAACTAGTTTCGATTCATTCACCTTTTATTTCTAGTTGAGTGAAATTGTACTCTTTTTTTGTTGTTGTTGGTGGCAAAACAAGAGAAATACATTAATGTGTTTATGTGTATGGCACTAATCGATGATAAATAAATACAGAAGTAAAATTGTGGCATGATTAAGATTAAATAATTAATGACACTGATGTAATAATATAATGCAGGTGCTGGCCATAACCGTAACCGTAATAATTAATATTATATATATTTAAATGAATACATGGATTAGCAGTGCTTAATTATGCTTTTCTTATTGGTCACACATTAACATATAAATATTTTGTATTTATAAAATATATCGAAAAATGTAACGCTGACTGATAAAACTTAACTTTCTGAGGGGGTCAATAAATGGTTTGGATAACTATTAGGACTAACTTCAAGTCAGGAACATTAAACACCCAAAACATCTCACAATGGAATCTCCCACAAGAAAACACAGTAAAACGGAACTTATCTGCGGACTCTGCGACTAATATTAAAAAGCCATTAAAAGCCATTCAAAAAAGGACATACCTTAGTGTAGCTCTGGTGCTGCTCTAAAAATCATTCTTTTTTAATAACAAACATTTTTAAAATGCAAAATGCATATAAAATATGCAAGCAACAAAACGCCAAGGCACTCTGTAGCTGTCTGTGTGTGTCTATTTGAGAGTTAGTGTGTGTTTGAGTTTAAGTGTGTGTGTGTGTGTGCATTTTAAAAGCGTTGGAGGTGTGTGAGTGTGCAGGTGGTATACTCAAAAATTTCAAGTGCTGGCAGCCCGGACAGGGTCTTGTACTCGTACTCGCACTCGCACTCGCACTGCAGTGCAGTTGTGCTCATGGTACTCGTACTCGCACTCGTAGTTCTGGCAGGAGGAGTAAAAGTTGGCCAATTTGAAAAGAGAGAAATAATTAGGCTAATAAAATGCACAAAAATAAAAGGTGGGGTCGGGTAGCACACTCACACACACACATCCACAGACACGTGTGGCAGCATTAACACCATGCTTATCAAGTGTGCAGGTGTACAGGTGTGCTCGTGTCTCTGCGTGTGTCTGCGTGTGCTGGCGTGTGTGTGTGTGTGGCAGTAGTTGTCACTCTATAAAGTTCACGCTCGTAAAAAGTTGCCCTATCGTATAGTCGTATATGTAATAGTAGTATAAAAAATGACTTTATATTGTAGGTTAGTTAGTTTTGGTTGTGTTTACTGCTGGCGCTGCAGCAGTAACTTATAGTCTGAAAAGTCTCGTGTCGAAATACATATTCTACATACATATAAATATACATACATACATATGTAAAGTTTAAGTTGGAAATATAATTAGAGTTATTGTTAATAAACGTGTCACATTCTCACAACTGTGTGTGGTCAGTGTGTGTGTGTGTGATTTGTGATGTGTCAGAACTTATTTTAGTTTTAATATCTAAATACTGCTTCAATTTCTTCAAGTGGGTTCCTGGAAAAGTGATTGGGAAAAGCAGAAACAGAGAGAGAGAGAGAGAGTTTGTTTTTTGTGATTTTTCCATTGTTTGTTTTTGGTGCGGTGAACAATCCAAACAGATGCAGAGAGAATCTCGCTAATTGTAAAATAATAAACACAGTCAAATTTCCACTCATTTTTGGTCTGGTTCTGTTACTGTTGCGCTGGAGTTTTGATTAATATTTATGCCCAGGCCAAAAGGGCACAACGAAACAAAACAAAAAATACGCAACCGAGAGAAGAAAAATAAAAATTAAATAAAATAACAAAAAAATAGACTGAGAAAAGCATACAAAAAACATCATTAACGCCCTCATTTTTAGCTTAAGGTCAAATTATGCTTTTATATCAAAAACACAGACGGAGAGAGAGACAACAACAGAGCATTCTGCGATTTGCATATGCGGAGCAGAAGCAAAAGCAGCAGCAGCAGCAGCAGCGGAGGTGGAGTGGCGGGGATGCGGACGCGAACGCGGTCCATTTGTGGAACGAACGAAGCGCCAACGCCATAAAATATAAATTAATTTATGCGCAATCAACAAAACATAAATATTTTCATCTGCATAAAATCACAAAAACGTCCAAAAGTCCAAGAAGCAAACGGCCGCAAACATATACATTTATAAATGTAAAAAAAAAAGTAGAAAACAAAAAAGAGAAGCATCGGCATCCAATCTGCGGCTGTCGCCATCTCCAGTGACCACCAATTGTCTTGTCGCGTCCAAAAGATATTCAGGGTCAACCGCTGCGCCAAACCGAATGACGATGAAACAAATTTCAGAAAAACCAATTGAAAGCGAGAGCGAGGGTGTTGTATGGGTGTCCGAGTTCGAGTCCGATCATTGGCCAGACCGGGCCAAGCCTTGGCTAACAGTAGGGGCAGACGGACGACCAACTAATAATAGTTCATAAATTATCAAACAATAAATTAGACGATTAATGCACGACTAAGAATTCGATTGCGTTTTGCCGCCGCCACTGCCGCCACTGCCGCCACTGCCGCCACTGCCGTCGCTGCCATTGCGTCGCGTCGTCTTTGTCGTCACGGAAGCCAAACCTCTAATGTTCTGGCAAAAAAAAAAACAGATGCAAACAAAGAAAGATTTCATAAACACGGATCTGGCGAGCCTTTTGTGTTTAACCGTTTTTATAGATTTAGACGAGTTTAATTTGAATATAAATACAAATAGTTTTGGAGAACATTGCTATTGCCGGCTAATTTGATATCTGGGGTTTTTCTATACATAACATTCTTCTGCTCTTGCTCTGCGCTCTTCCTCTGCCCCGTTCGTTCTATTCTTATCTTTTTTTGTTTGTTAAATTTTGATATGCTTTAATTTATGCATAAGAACAGGAAAAAAGAGACCGACCCTGGGAGAACTAGTAGAAATTCTTGCTAGAAATTTATTACAAGGTTATTAACATGTTTATCTTCTTTTCCTCGTTATGGATTCCAAGGGCAAGAGGCGCGAGAGAGCGAGTGAGCGAGAGAGCGAGACCCTCGGCCGCAACATAATAACACACATTTCAATTTATTTTATTATGCATGTTAAGTTGTAAGGCAGACTGGTTCCCGAGCCCCACTTGTTCCCCAAAGTTCTTGTCTGGCCAATTTGATTTCAAGGTTTTCTTCGACAAGATTAGCATGTAAAAGCCGACCAGATTCCAGGGGATTCTGCGTTCTAGGGTCTGGGAAATTGCGCAGAGAACTCCACTATGAAGTCATGGGATATTTATTACAAAATTTAGGCTAGATCCAAATGCTGGTGTTGATCAAAGGAATAACTGGAAAGGGGGAATACCAGTTGACTAGCTAAAGGGCTCGCAGGGACATCCATCAACTGCCTTTGTAATGAAATGTACATAAATGTGTGCCGCTCAAGTGAAAATTTACTCTCTCCCCCCCCATGCTATCCTTCGAGTACAGCTCATACGCAAACACACAAAGGACACCATATTGCTCGTGTGTGTGTGTGTGTGTGTGTGTGCTATGTCCTCTGCCATATGCCATTTGATATCTGCTGTTGTCATACGTGTTGTTGTCTGGTTTGTGCACCATTTTTTGTTCTCCCCCGCCACCGCTGTTGTTTTCTTCTGCTTTGTTTCCCCAGTCGAGTGTCTTTGGCCATCATACTACCCTTATGGCCGGAAGCAGGCATTCTTCGTTTGCACTAGATGAAAGACTTCTCAGACTATCTATCTATCTGTCTACCTATTGATTTCCATACACGTTTGTGTGTGTGTGTTTGTGCTGATGGAAGTTATGGCAAAGGTCAGTCTGTTCGATATGGTTTTGTGAGCGGAGGGGGGGATTGACCCGAGTAGAGTATACCAAAGGCGACTCTCTCTCTCCCTTGCTCCGTGGCTCTTGCTGCTCTTTTTAATGTTATCCTGAAGCAGCAGTAGAAACAGCTTTGGGGGCTAAAATTGTATTAAATTACTTTGTTGTTGCTCATTATATAATGTTGTTAGAGTCAGCCACTGGAACATCGCGTGGGGGAGCAGCTCCTTCAACCGAGCGGCATACATACATATGTGTGAAAGTTGCCAGATAAGCGGCAACGGGCGACAACAAAAATATGCTTGTGTGTGTTCGCATAAAATGGTTGCCACGGATCTGGGGCATGGTGTGGCAGGTGAGCTTTTAGTCGTAGTTTTCTTTCATTGTTTTTTCGTCAGACATCCACACACGCACAGCTTGTGACATGGCAGAAGAATAACAACAACAACAGCTTGCGGCAAAAGTTCCGGGATAACGCTTTGTGGTTGCTACGTGTTGCATGCAACCTTCAGCGAGTCCAAGGGTCATCAAGTGGAGCCAGGACAGGTAGAGGGAGAGCACCCACAAAGGCGCTAATTATAATTGCCAGTTTCTGTCGTGTGGCCAACATTAAAATATCATTTGTCGCACCCTCCATCCCCTACCCATGGGTGTGTTTGTGTCTGTGTGTGTTTAGGACATGCAAAAGGTTACAAAATCAGCGAAATTTCACGCTAGGTTGTCGTGATTCCATCACCGATAGCGGATAGCGGCGACTCCTGCTGGTGCTGCTGCTGCAACACACTTGCCATCAAATCATCGATTCCCCAGTGAATGCCCAAAATTATGCGTACATGTGCTGTGGGGGATGCCTACTCGTTTGCCAATTCATTGCGGCCACCCGCCCACAAAACACAATTTGCGGAATGCCCCAAATGAAGTTATTCAATTGTAAAAACAGATGGCATGTTGCCGCGGGGAATTGAAGTGCGCCTAAAGTCGGGCAGAGAAATCGGGAGAGAACCACAGCGAGAGTATTGCCCAGAGGGGCCTGCAGCTTACACACACAGTGCGTATACGCAATGCTGGGTAAAATTAAGTAAAAGTGGCGCGGAAATACTTACAATTTTGAGTTAAGTTTCCAAAGGAGGCAGATTACACCACCAGCAATCTACAGAGTATGATTTGATGCCCACTGGGGGTGTAGGTGTGTGTGTGTGTGTGTGGTCTACAATGTACTAAAAAAGATTTCTCTGGCAGAGGCAAAGGCAGAGGGCTGCCATATAATGTTTGCCCCGTACACTTTTTTAAGTAGATGAACGGCTCAGGGGCTGATGGCTTGGATGCCTGACTGCCAGCCTGCCTGCCTGGCTGCCTGCCTGGCTGGTTGCCCTCTGACGTCTGCGATTTACGAGTCCATGGAACGCGCTTAAGTGCTACATAAAACTTAAACTGCTTAGGGCTGCTTACACGCTTATAATCGTATGCATGGATATGAGGCAGGGCGAGGGGGGTAGCTGTGCGAAGTACTTACTATTAAAGACCTCTCGCTATCCGCCATCCCATGCTCTTATTTAATAAGACACTAAGTCTCAATGATGATTAGCAGCTCCATCAACGGGCTGAGTATATGTTGCGGTGTGGCATGTACGAATAGAGAAATGTTTTATGCGTATGCGTATGCGTATGTGTGTGTGTGTGGTGCATGTTGAATGATTGAAAAATATCAAATTTAAGAGCAACGTAAAGAGCGAAACCGGCACCAGAACCAAACCAAAAGTCAGCGTAAAAACTTGACCAATCCAACTTAAAAATAAAAATAAAAGTGCGAGAGAGAGAGAGAGGTAAATATTCTACGGCAAATGCACAAACACCGTGAAGATGTGTGTGAGGGTGCTTGTATAGGTGTGTGTTTTTGTGTGTTATCGTATATTCGTTTAGGTGGAAGTGTGGGAGTGGCTGGATGGTTGTGGGGTGTTTTTGTTGATTGATTTGGGGGCGTGTCTGTGCATTAAGATGTGACATAAAAAGCGCAAGAAACGCAAGCATCCATAATCCGGATAAATGAGAGCTCTCCCGAACCTAACCGACACTCACCTCATGTCCTCCGCCTCATCGAAGCGCCCTAGTGCGGCATTGTCAACGTCATCCAAGCGTGCGTTAGCCTCCTGGTCGCTATTGTCATCGTCATCATCGTCCACATCCTCATCGTCGTCGTCGTCGTCGTTGTCGTCGTCGCCGCTGCTGTTGCTGTTGCCGGCATTATCATAGCGCTTATCGCTATGACTGCCAGCGTCCTTGTCAATGTTGTCATTGGCTGCATCCAATAATCTGGATTTCTTATCACGGCGCAATGTTGCAATTTTCTTCTCCTCCTCCTGTCGCAACTTTTCCACTTCGTCCTTTGACAGGAATGAGAAAACTTTATCTAAAAAAAAAATAAGACAGAGAGGAAGCAGCAGCGAAAATCAGTTGGAATTCAGAGACAAGAAGCACGTCAGAAGGGAAATTAAATAAATAGCGATAGTTGCATTTATCCCTTGGTTACTCCCATGCAAAAGGCGCTGCGGTTCCTCTTTCTAATTACTCAAACCACTGAGCGAAAAGTATGGGCTTAGAGAGTCCCAAAGGACCCACAGGATGCATCCTGCGGTTGCTTGGCAACCATTGATAAGTGGTTTGATTGACAACTTGTGCGGCAAGTGAGAGTGGCAAAGTTCCTCAGACCTGGGTCTGAGGTTCATTTGGGGAAAGTTTTGCAAACACCTATCTTACCTGTCTTTTGTGTGGGCTTGTGCTGATCCTCCATGGCTGATTCGAAGAAGCGTTTTTTATCGGATACCGATTTAGGCACTTTTGTGGGTGTCGGTGTGGGTGTGGCGTCTGCCTCCTGGCCGCCAGGTGTTGACTGAAAGATGGCAAAAAGGTTTTTTGTTAGCAACGTCAAAGGGGCAAAGAGAAGCCCAAAGATTTATTAATACAAAAATCAATAGACACATAAAGTCGAAGCGCCAGCAGCTTTAGACTTTGTGCGCCATATTTTCAATTAAATGACTGGGAAAAAAAGAGAGAAAGGAAAAGCAGCGAGTGCCATTTTCCCTCAGCGAAAGCGAAAAATGTCCAAACGACCATAAAGAAAATTGATGTCGCCCCACACACACAAGTTTATTAAAAAGCAGACAGAAGGGAATAGAACGGAGCGGAACAAACTCCAGCCAGGGTTTGCTTTGTTGTTTGCGGAGGGAGAGGACAGTGGCTAGTGGGAGGATCATCAGCAGCGGAGAGGCTTCCATCATAAAGAGTAGTGGGTGACCCAGGGAGCTGTTTTGTTCCGTGCAACCCGGGGTCATGTAATTTACGGGGTGGACGAATAGACTGAGACTGGGTTTAGGATGACTGCAGAAGAGGGCGCAAATTACAGCTGAGGGGATAAAGGGGAGGAGGTGAAGGATGCTCCATCCTCGACCATGGCCATTTATCACCCAAAGTCATGTACTGTCGGTTTTATGCTTTCATGCAATTCCTTCGTTTTAGCCAACATGAGACGACGACGACGCAGTGGACCGCCAGTGGCCAGGAGCGGCTGCAGATAAGAGTCAGCCGATGTGCGGGATGTGTGTGGACTGTGTGGCCGGGTGGGTGTATAGATAGTTAGTGCCTCCAGCGGCAGCCGTAGCTGTAGGAGTAGCAGCAACGACGACAAAGTCATTAAATGGCGACCATGCAATGGGCCAGAACGATGGCAAAAACAAAGGCAGAGAGCATCAGCAAAGCAGGGCAAAGGCCGGCGTTAAACTGCACAAATTGCAACCGTATACCAATCCCTGGCTGTGGGCAATGGCACTCCAAAGCACACAGATACGAGATACGAGAGTCGGGCACAAGACCACACCACATCAGGCCAGGCCACTTCCGAGCTCATAAATAAAGCTAGGACCAAGACCAGTACCAGGACGCTGACCAGCAACGAACGATCCAGAGACAAGTGCATGGACAAAAGTGAAAGCTGAGAAGGAGCAGCAGCAGAAGGAGGAGCAGAGGAGCAGTGGAAGGAGCAAAGCTGTAAGCTGTATTTTTAGAAGAGAAATTAATTTCGTATCGGATTTTTCGATTTTCAATTAAAGTCAATGTCTGAAGGGAGGCAGGGCACTCGGTGTCCAGTTGGCTCTGCAAAGTCCAACTAATAGAAATTTATTGAGCCATGAAAGTGTTGAGTTTGTATGTGTCTGTGTGTGCACGTGCAACCCTCGACAGCGTATTAAAAGCCAATAAGCCACAGAATAATTCAGAGCATGCGATGGGTGCGGCATGGATGGTGGCAAGTGGAAAGTGTTAGTGGATGACACATCATCGATACGATAAGATAAGATAAGATAAGATAATATACGATGAAACAATAGACAAAAGTACTACTCCGTTTGGGTCTTATCGCGGCCCATTAGGGGTACTCGCCGATAAGATTACAACAACGTTGATAAGGAAATGGGAACACTGGAAAATACACCTGCTGCTGCCGCTATATAAAGCGTTCTGTGGCCGCTGGCCAAATCAGTGCAGGGCCCAATGCCAGAGCGTGCGAGTGGCATGCCGCGCAGCGGGGTCTACCTCTAAAGAGTAGATAGACGAATGGCAGGTGGGTGTGGGCTTCGATTAGATGAGTGGGCCACAAGTGAGGTCAAGGTCATGGTCTCAACGACCATCTAGGGCGCACTTCACCCAAAATAAACATTTGAAAATAGAACCAAGTTCTGCCTCCTCGGACGTTTGTGGGGACGAAAACAAAATGAAAAGCGCTCCGAAAACAAGGGGAAGTACGAATACGAATACGAATACGAATAAAACGCAGTGTTTATTTGCCTTAAGGTATGCAATTAAAAATGTTTCAGCTTGCTTTTTTTGCCCCGCCCCGTCCCGCTCTCGGGATAAAATAAATTAGCATTAAAATCAACTTAACAGAGCAGAGCGCTTGGCTGCAACGAAATTAACTTTATAAATTGTAAATTTGTATTTTCTGTTTTTATTTTCTTTTGTGTGTGTGTTTTTTTTATCGTTCCGTTTTTTCGGTATTTTGTCCGTGTTTTGGTTATTTTGGTTTTCGTTTTTCATTTTATTCAAGTATTATTTTCCTTCGTTATACTTAATTATTCGTTGGTTTTTGTTTTTTGTGCACCGTAAAAAGCAATATAGAATAGAATGGGTGGACAGGGGGAGTGAAGTTAATGGGCCAGGCGTGGGCGTGGCAGCTAGCTGCAGGTGGGCGGGCGACCGAAAACTGTTTCAATCAACGTCAAATTAAACCAGGCCAAAAATGTGCGGGGGCAGGCTGGCAGGCAGGAGACGTACCGTCTGCTGCTCAATTTCAGCTGCAATTTAACGCTGGTTCGAGGGCAGGGGCATATTCTCGTGGATGTGGCTTGGGCGGCGGGTGAAGCGTTGTCAAAGTCAACAAAAACTTGCATTCTAATTAACTGGAAAGGTGCGGCGGCGCCTGGGGGTAAGTGCTGCAGGGAAATCCCAACAACAAATCAATCAATTTAAATGGCAAACGAAAATATTGAACATTTTGCTACTAGAGAAGAACCCCTTCACACGGCCACACGGCTGTGGTTTGGGTTGGAGCTGCGTCTGGGTACTTTTTAATTGATGGCAAAAAGGTGTTAGAATTTAATTAAAATGTATGAGCAGAGTGACACGAAGAAATGGGAGGGAGAGAGGGAAATGGCAAAGCAAAAGAGGGAGAGAAACCCAAGAGAGAGAGAGAGAGAAAGAAAGTAATGCAAGAGCTGTGCTACAACTGATTGGATGGCAAGGGTGCACACTCCCGGAGTAATTAAAAGAACTTCTGGCCACGAGGAATGTGCCACAATCCACTACACAGTGGTCTCCTTCCCGGTGGGCGTTGTTGGAGTATGCGACACTGGGCTACGGGCCCAGGATTGTGCCTCCAACTGCGGCTGGGATTGGGAGGAGCGCAGCTTGAAGCTGGCCAGGCCACGCAGTCCGTGCGGCTTCTGGGCCACTGGTGGCGCCGGTGCTGTGCGCACAATGTTTGGCTTTAGTGGACGCTTCGGGGGCAGGGGGGGCGGCGTGGGTGACTTGGAGGCGCGACAGGAGAGCGAGGTATCGCTGCTGCGGCGCGAATCAAAGAACGAGGTATTACTGTAGATGGCCTCCTCAATGGTCGAGTAAATCTCCTCCGCCGTCTCGTAGTAACTGGCAAGACCCCCAGTACCAGTACCAGTACCAGTACCAGTCCCAGTCCCAGCTGCTGCTGTGGACTTGATCTGCAGCGACGACGTGGAGGAGGAATCGATGGAGAAGGAGCTGCTGGTGGCCAGCGAGGAGTTGGATATGCCGGCGCGCGATGTGGTCATGTTTTGATAATTGCTATTTGAGTCGGGACTGACCAGAATTTCGGAGAATGTGGGAAATTTCATTGCCGTGTACGAGGGCGATGGCGAGGAGGAGTCGTTGCTGGGTGGTGCCAGGAATTGTTGCTGGGGCGGCTTTCCACTCGATTCACTCACCGATTTTTGGGCGGGCAACGACGGCGACTGCACCGATTGCAGGTAAAGCGACGACACTTGGCCCTGGTCGCCAGGCAGCAGCACAAAGTTGAAAATGGGCTGAGTTTGGGGCGGACTTTGGAGGTGGGACTGTGACTGTGAGTGGGGCTGTGTCTGGGACTGCGTCTGGCTCTGAGACGGTGTCAATGTAAGCGTATTTGGCTGTTGCGGTTGCGGGAGACTCGCATACTGCACGGGCAGTATTTGGGCCGTGGGAAAGATCTGTGTGGGCGACCCGGCGACCAGCAGCTGTTGCGGCGAGCGCGCGACGACATCCATCAGAAGGCGGCCGGCAGCGTTGGAAGAAGATGGAGACGTTGATGCGTTAGTGGCGACAGCGGTTAGTGGTGGCCCAGGCGCAGGCTCATGCAAATGACGAGTGGGGTGGGAATGGTATTGGTTCTGGTGTTGGTTTTGTAGGTAGTGGTGTAGCTGTGATGGTGCCTGTTCGGTGGGCGGTGTGGGCGGTGGTGGCAGTGGCAGGCTGTCAATGTCTGTGTCGCAACTATCTAGGAATGGATTCGTTACCGCATGGCCGCCGCTTCCGCTCCCGCTACCGCTGGCCCTGCCCGCTATGGGTATGGGCGGTGCGGGATCGTAGGGCGCCCGCAGCTGATTCCTCAGCTCGTTCTCGCGCAGCAGATATTCGCGATGCTCCTGCGGCGTCACTAGAATATTGTCCGGCGAGTTCTCGTGCACAAACTCGTGGGGACGGCGGTGCGAGGGTGGCGGCCCAGGCAGCGCCTCCATATACAGCGACTCCTCCAGCACGGTGGGCACCGTGCTGGCCAGCGGACTCTTTGGCAGGGTGGAATAATTAACGGGCGGCGGAGGTGGACTCTCCCGGGGCCTTGGCGGCGTCTTTGTTGACACTCGCACCGGCACCTTGGCCCCCACTGGATGGATGGTGTTGGTGCTGGCATCGTGCTCGAACACCGTGAAGTCGCCCTGTCCCACATCGCTGGCCTGGAACGTCTCCAGGGCCACGTTACGCACCAGATCCGCCTTCTTCAGCTGCGGCTTGGGCGGCACCTTTGGCCGCGTGCCCGTGAGGTTCTCCGTCGACTTGGATATCACCGTGTTGGGCGTGCTGCGGCCACTGGAAAACGATTGCTCGAGCAGATCCTCACTGGAGCGGGCGGAGCCAAAGAAGAACTGATCTCTAGTAGTTCGCGGTGACCGCGGCGACCTGTTGATTGCCTTGGCTATCTGCGTGTACTCATCATCCTCGATTGGGGGATGCCGGAAGGGATTCTCCCGCTCCAGTTCAGCGGGTCGTTCCGGTGAAGTGGCCCGCGACACACGTTGCAGCTGCGGGGATTCCACCTCCCTGATGCGTGCCACAGTGGGCACAATGGGCGCCAGCTTCTCTGGACGACGCTCCAGGGTGGAGCTGGTGGACGAGCTCGGGCTGGTGGCCCGCAGGATGCCCTTACGCGGCATGCGGTTCCGCGCATTGCCTCGATTATCCTGCTCGGAGTCGTAGGCACGCGTATAGCCATCGGGCGTTCGGGATCTGGAACGCTCGTAGTCGGATCTGGAGCGCTCATCGCCGCTGAGGTCGAAGCTCACGGATTTGCGATGTCCGCCACCATACTCTGGAGTGCTGCGACCCGATCTCGACGGCTTATACGGTCGACAGTCGCTCTCCGAGTCGCTGGTGTAGCGCCCGCGGCGACGATCGAAGCAATCCGAATCGGATTCCGCATAGGAAGGTGGCGATTGCAGATCCAGCGGCGGAGAGCTCTCGACTTCCTCTTCATCCTCCTCGTCGATGGCATCTATGTCGTCCAGATGCTGATGGGAGTCGTCGACGTCCTCCTCATCGTCGTCATCATCATCATCGATGATGTAGACGGGTTCGGCCTTCTTGGGCTTCGCTGGCGTTGCCTTTGCACTGTTTCGGTGCTCCTCCTGATGCTCCAGCATCTGCTGGTAGGAGAAACGAGCACCTGGGGTGAGGTGTTCGGGCGTCTGGGTTCCACGTTGCTATTGGAGTTTTTGGGATTTCTCATTTAGTTTTTTTTTTTTTTTTCAAAATATCTTGATTTAGTTGAGGTTTTTAATTTGTTTTGTTTTCTGATTTGTTTATTTGGTTTGTCAGAGGTGCAACGTCTTCTTGTTCTTCGCACACAAGCATGGAACACAAACTGCAATGTGCAACGTTAATTGGTGTGTGGAGTGGTTGGTGTGTTCGTGTTCTGAGGTGTTTTTGTGTGTGATGTTGATGATGTGTTTTTGTGTGGGATGCTGTTGGGTGCACACACAATTATATCTGTACGTTTGTTTTGTTCTTTGTGCTCTGGGGGGTACTGCCAGACACTCTGCAACCTGCAGTCCATTAGCCAATTACCAGTGATTTCTGCTTTGATGATGAACAGTGTTTTTTGTTGGAATGCTTGAAAGAGTTTCTGCGCGCGTCTGGCCGAATTTTGTTGCTTGATGATGAGGTTGATGAACTCGACGAAACAGCAGCGATGCGATGCGATGCAATGCACAAAAAAACAGAGATACAGATACAGTCACAGATACAGATAAACACACGCACACGCATAGACAGGAACGCGGCGGCGTCCTTACACATGTGAATGGCAAAAGAATGGCACAAAAAAATAACGAAATCAAATGAAACTTTTTCAATGGGCGAACAAAAAAGGAACAAAATAAAATAACCTATCCTAAGTGAGACCCATCCACCTTGTTGTACTGTACGACAAATACATGAAGATTTATTGACACATCAAAAATGCACACTTGGAATTCCATTTAGCTATCGTTTAAATATGTAACTATCATTAGGTAACAATGAAAGTGGGGCAGGAGAGGAGGAAAACCAGTAGATAACAGTAGATTAACAGTAGATACTTTAACAAAATATCCTTCTCTAAGTTGTATAGTTTTGTTTTTAGGTAGTATAACAATCTTTCTTTCTTTAGCTATTCGCCTCTGATCAGTTTTATTGTTTGGTTTTTGTTTTCTTGAGTATTATTCAGTTGCATAATTGGACCTTTGCTGTGTGCTCTCCACACATTGTTGTTACACATTTAGTAATATATTTATATGTATGTATACAGTAGCTGTGTGCAGTAGTTCCATGAGTGTGGTGTATATGGGTATAGTAGGTACATACATCGAAAGACTAGAATGTACATTTATATGTCGAAAACTTTTTGTGTCGCAATATGGCGACATTTTTCCAGAGGAGTTTCTTTCTTTTAGATCTGTTTGCTCGGGATAAACAGCATGGGGACCAGAGAGTGAGTGAGAGATCGCGAGAGACATTGAAACCATTTGGGGAATTCAGTTTTTGATTGAATTTCGAGTTCGGAGGAGAGATAAAGAGACACACTGCCTACTGGCATGCTGAAAGTAGTAACTCTTGGCCCTTTGAACACGCTCCTATTATTTCTGTTTTCCTCTCTGAATCTTATACAATTTGTTTCTATCTGTGGGTGTGTCCTTGTCCTTGTTCATTCCCTTTTAGCTGTCTGTCTGTTTGTTTAAACTAAATATTCAGTCTTTTGGTGATAAACATCCGCTTGTTAAGCAATACGCTGCAATGAAAATCGAATGCAAGAACACAAAAAAACAAAACGCAAAAAGTACAAAAACATAAAGCCAACAGCAATTCAAATGATTGAAGGAGGGAAGAAGTGTTGAACGAAAAAACGAAAAAACGAAAAATGCCATGAGAAAAATACGTTTGTTGTTGTTGAAGAAAAGCAGCCAGCGAGAGCCAGAACCAGAACCAGAACGAGAGAGCAATATAGCAGTAAGAATGAGAAGAGAAATGGGAGAGTGTGTAAGAATGAGAAGAAGAAGGACGAGAAGAAGATATAAGAGAGACATTTTAATGGAAATTTTTCTTCTGCAGTTTTTGAATTATTTACATTTACATTTATTATATGTATGTATGTATGTACCACTATGTATATAGCGAGTGTATGTATGTACTTGGATATGTATATATTGGTATGCCAGATTTTATTTTGTTTTGTTTTTGCACACTGCTTTCAATGCAAATTTCAATTGGGGGGGGGGCATGCTTTAAAGCCAACAACCAGTTATACAAGCTACAAACAACGAAAACATTAAGGCACAATCATAACAAGAACGAAAGGAGAGGCAGCAGCCTTGGAGGTCGACTCTGATGATACCCTTGCAGAGGTATTTTAGTTAATGAAGGTACTATAGGATTAGGTCATAAATTCGAGATTTTCACTTGAAGCTTTATCTCTAGTTTTGGCTAATTATTTGTCACAAAAACTGGTATCAATGTTGCCCAGACGGACATGACTACAGATTAAGTTTCTATTTCCTTTTTAATCAAGAATCTATTTATAAATCGTGGGATCGTATCCTTCTTTGTATTAAATAAATCGAATCAAAATCAAAATACCCTCTGCAAGGGTTTAAGCATAACCAAGGGCGCCCACGCAATGTAGCAAAGACGGAAGGAAATAAAATGAATATAATATGAGAGTAGCATAAATAACGCCAACAACAACAGGCAACAACAACAACAACGAGAATAAGAAGAGATAACAACAAGAACAATGATCAGGCTGGCTCCTTTGCATCAGCCGAAAGCACAGCACCAATATGCTAATAAATAATAAATTGTCTGCTGCCATATCAATAAATGCGGGAAAGGTGAAAGAGGAGAGCGAGCCCACACAGCGAGCCTTGGCCTTATAGCACCCCAAGGGAGTACCAGGAGCAGCAGCAGCAACACTGGCACTCCACCCATTTGCACGCACAGAAGGGGCAGGCAGGAAGGCATAACTCATACGCCCCCGTGGCTGGCCCAAAGAGATAGGCAATGATTTTTTATTCACTTTTAATTCAAATGCAACACAAATAGACATTTAGCAAAGAGCAAAAACGAATGGCAATCGATGTACAGATGATAATGGTTCATGGAGAGCAAGTAAATGAAAGTGCTATTGTTTTAGTCACACTTTAGTTATGTTTTAATGGGTCAAATGGTGAGTGAATGATGGAGACACACAGAGAGCGAGAGAAAGAGACAACATGCTGTGAAAATGTGTGTAAACAAATTCAATTCACAGAATAATGAACTTTATGCTTTTTTTTGTGAGTATGAGCAAAATGATGTTTCTGTTTATTTATGTATATTTTTAATGGTAGAATTTTAAACAACAAATAGGATTACGAGTACGTGTAGACAACAATTACAGACACACACACACAGCACACAGCACACAGCACACACGGGGGGTGGAGGGTACACACATTAGTAGGAGTTACACAGAGAAACAAGCAAACAGAAAATACGAAACAAAAATCAAGTTAAAAGATTCGTGAGGTATTGTTTTCTGTTTAAGGTTTTTCTTGTGGTGGTGGTTGAGTGGCGACTGTCGGGTTCATGTTAGGGAAAGTTACAAGGGTAAAACAAAAAGGTAGACGACATACACAAAGAGAGACGCAACATAAAACATACGATCGGAAGGGACACAGACACACACATACATACACATACAGAAACAGACACATATTAAAGCCAAGACAACAGACACAAGACGTGCAGGCAGTCAGTCGTTGGTTGGTTGGGTACATACCTGTGGCACCAGCTCCTCTTCCGACTTCTCTGTGGGTGCTTGTGTCTGCACAGCCACAGCGGGCACTGACGCGGGAGTGGGAGGTGCAACTGCGGTCACCGACTCCGGGGCAGAGCCAATGGGCGGTAGTAGTGCCGACGGCGTTGTCGGTGTGGTTGGATTTGTGTCGAGAGTATGCTTCGATATGACAACCGTCGTCGTCTTTTGTATTTTATCCTGTTCATGGTGCTCGGACGGGGATTTCGGTGGCACGGCGGTGAAGGCGTCTGCGGCGCGCACAATTTCCAGCACCTAATTTGAAAATCGAACAACAACTCACATTAAACTGCCCAAAGGGGAGAGATTCGGGAAAGGCCATTGGACTTACCTTCTCCTGGGTGCTCTTCTCCTGACCCAACGGCGCCAGCTGCGTCTGCGGCTGTTGCTGCTGCTGGTTCTGATGGTGGGCCTGTTCTGCGTGAATGAGCGCCACGGTCTGTGCGGCTGTGCTGTCCGACGGCGCTGGCAAATCAGCGACTGCCACTGGTGGCGTCGGTGTGGTGGGTGTGGGCGATGGGGCGCCATGCACCAAGGCAGCGGCGGCTGCCAGACCCGTCTGACTCGTCGGCTCCAGCACGGACTCCACCTTTTGCGTGGCAAACACATCAAAGTCCTGGGTAATTTTATAGTTAAAGTAAAGTTCGTGCGCTCTAAGGTGCTTTAAGGCCAGGCAACACTCACCTGTCGCAGTCGCTCATCCTCCTCGTGATCCAAACTGGAAACGCTCTGACTTTGACTGAGCTCCGAGCCCGTTTCCGAGGCGCGCGAGCCTTGAGAAGTGAAGCAAACAGAATGCAAAGGTGAGCAGGAGGACTTAAAGCCAAGGCTTATGGTGGGGTTGGTTACGTTACCTTGACGACTGCCACCGCTGTAGGATGCAGAGGAGTTGAAGCCGGTGCTCATGCCACCTGCCTGGCCGATGGAATGAATTAAATTGGATTTGTCGTAACCCTTGCAGACGACCAATTGGATCTCGTTCCCGGCATTCCTCAAGACATTGACCGCATCCTGATGCGAGGCACCCAGCAGCGAGTGTCCGTTCACCTCCAGCAGCCGCATGCCCACCTGCAGCAGCAGCACAAAAGCGCACACAAAGAACGAAAGAAAGTCGCCGATTAAGTTCATGCCGCCAGACAACAATGGTGTGTGGCACACGACGTTACCTTAAGCCTTCCGTCGCGTCTGGCGGCGCCGACAGAGTTAATTTTGGAGACGAACACACCCTCGTCGGAGGGATCCCCGGGATTACCGCGCTGTCCATTAAGTCCGCCCTTGATGTGCATGCCCAAGCGTTCGTTCTCGGCCTTGCTCAGTAGAACTTCCTGTGATTTACAATTAGCAAAGAGAAGAAAGAGGAAGGAGAGACGGAGAGAGAGAAATTAGCAAGGACTTGGCCATAACAATCAAGTGGATATTGGTGGTGGCTAAGTACAATGGGGGAATGGCAATGGTAATGGCAGTGGGCATAAGCTCTATAAAAAAAACTATGGAAAGCATTTTGCTAATTGATATGTTAATGCAGGTATTCTTTTTTGTTGTTACTGTCTTAATTATCCAACAATTGCTGTAGAGCTAAGAGCAATGGAGGAAGAGGAGAAGGAGAAGGAGAAGGCGAGGGAGAGGTAGGAGCAGCTCTTTGTGTCGTGTGAAAGGGCTTACCTCGGTCTTTACATACTCTACTTCAATGTTCTGTGCGATACATATAATTTCGTGAGAAAGCGTTTTTGTTTGCAGAGTACAATAGTAATAAGAAGTATAAGAAATTGTGACTCGAAGCTTATATACATATACAGTACGTTACATAAACTAAAGTTTAAATAAAGAAAAAAATGTGGAAAAGTGGAAGAAAAGTAAACTAAAACTCACTTGGAAACCAGGTGGCAGTGGGTCGTGTTGTATGGTCAGTTTGATATCATCGCCGGGCTTTAGTAGCTCCAGCACCGCATCCTGATGCGTTGCCTTGGACACATCCGCATCGTTCACCTTCAGTATGCGATCTCCCATCCTTAGCTTGCCACACTTTGAGGCAATGCCACCAGGCACAATCTGTGTGTCATTTAAACTCAGTAAATGTGTGTTCCAAAGGTTTCCTGCAATCAACTTACATGTGATATAAAGATGCCAGGCTCACGATTGCCAAACGGCACACAGGAATGATCCGTGCCACCGATAATGCTGAAGCCCAGAGAGCCCTGATTCTTGGGCAGCACAACCTCCTATAGAAACAATAGAGTGCAAGGATTAGCAAACTTCAAAATGGTACGCATATAATGCTATCATAAATAATTCTAGTAACCCTACTAAGACTGCCGTGTGTGGTCCTGGGGCGCTGGATGATTGGGGTATGCAGGAGTGCGCGTGCGTGCGTGCTTATGTTTATGTCGGTGAGTGTCAAATGGTATGTGATGTGATGTTTTGTGGTTGTGCAAAATTGTTGGTGATATTTACATGGAATTTCAATTTATTTTTTCTTCCCGGGAGAACATAAAAACATAAAAGACAAGAGACACACCACCGAAAACCAAAATAAACCCAGAAACCAAAAAGACATAATACAAATAACCAATCAAGAAAGCCATAACAGACAAGAACAGAAACATTTAATACCGGAAAGTGAGTAGTAATATTCAATAAATAATGAATAACCTTCTGCTTATGAATAACTTAACATTAGATTAAATGACAGAGCAGAGCAGGGCAGCGCAGAGCAGACAGACCGCTCCGCTCTTCCCCAACTGTTTGCAGTTTTATTACTTGGATTCCGAGAAGGAACCGACTTGCGGTTGTGCACAAATCCAGCTTTTGAGTTATTAAAATATCAAAGTAAGAGGCACTTTTCTGGCACTTCAGCTTGTGGCAGTCAAACCCTTAACTCCACTCATGTCAAGATGCCACATAAACACATGTGAAACACATATGAGTGCATGCATGCAGCAAACTGTATCCAAAACTTTTATCAATTAACTTGGCAACAAATTGAATTCTTAAGAGTTCGATGCCGACGGCGGCAAAGAGAGAGAGAGCAGGCATGGAAATTAAAAACAATTGTTTTATATGTATTTTATTCAACATTTTGCTTGACTGACTGCGGCATCAGTGTTTGCACTCCACAGACAGACAGAAAGTCAGACGGACGGACGGGTGGGAGATTGTGGAGGCAAACAGAAATATTTAAAGTTTACTTATGGGCTGTTGCTCTGGATGAACAAACTGGAGAAGAAATCTGCAGTTGAGTCATTTAGAGTAAATCTCTTTTGGGGCTCGACTCGACTCGTCTCTGCTCTGCCACTGTGGAATGTCGTAGTTTTTCATTCGTATATTATTTAAACACGTTTTGCATGTTGCATAGTTTGCCGCTTTACTTATTTATGTAGCAAGTGGCAAAGTGACAAAGCTTGTGCAACACACACACACACAGCCAGAGGGAGAGGCAGAGAGAGAGAGAGAGATAGTGGCAGAGATTTCTTGCCGGGATTTGCTTCATGTCAACGATGACACTCGAGAGGCTTCCCATGGAGCAGAGTGAGTGTGTAAACCGTTCTGTCGTTCAAAAACGATGGCGCTTTGGCCCGTCACTTGAAACGGATTCAGTTACAACTATAAAAAAAATATATAAAAAATAGAAAGAGGATACTAAATATTCAAGTGCTCGAGAGCCAACAAAAAAAAGAGGACAGAAGGAAGTCCACTCCACTTTTAAGGGGTAAAACATTAAAAACATGGTTTGTCCTCTAGGGAATTATATTTATCAAGTGTGTTAGTAAGAGTAGAAATTATCGTTTCTATTTCAAGAATTGATTAACTTATAGTACAGAGAAAATGTTGAACGCATGCAAAAGTTTGCTTCCAAGTGGATTAGATTAATCGATTAATAAGCAATACAATAGGCAGCACCCATTCCATAACCATTACTTTGATATCCATATCCATATCCAATTCCAGTCTCAAATGCTACTCAAATTAGTCATCGAAGCAGATCACAACTCTCGTGTGTGAGTGTATGTGGGTGGGCAACATGTTTTGCATGAAACATAATGTAAGCGCAAATCCCGAGCCCCACATCAACCTCTCATCCGCCATTCCATTCCATTTAGAACTTCGGATGGAAGGATGTGGACTGGGCTGGGTTTTGGGGTTGTGCTTTTTGTCGACCACTCAGACCAACAGTTAAATCAAATCGTTTTGCAAGACGCACATAAATCAATTTATTAATCGAGCTCATCGAATTGCAGTGTAGAATTATCTTTAAATTATAAATTTAAATAAACATTTCGTGTCTTTTCTTTGGACTTTTGTGGAGGTGTGCATTGTGTGCAGATTGTGGTGCAGGTGGTGCAGGTGGTGCGTGTGTGTGTGTGTGTGTTTTGTGGCAAGAGGAAAGCTCGGCATTAAGTCCGGCAATGAACTGCGGATCGATCTTTGGTGTACCGAGGAGGGGGAACACCGACCACCGCTTTACACAACGATTCGTTAACTCTTTGGTTTGGTGTTGGTCTCTTAGCGGTGGGACGACGACTCTCTATGTGGTCTAGTGTAAGCGTGATGTGGAGATAGTCACCTCACTGATCAGGGGCTCCGCCAGCTGATTGTCGGTGATGCGCGTCATCACCGTCTCCGTGAATGTGGACTTGGTGATGGTCTCGGTGACTTTGCCCAGTTCGGTGGGCGCTGCCGGGAACATGGGCAGATCGGGCTGCGGCTTGTTCACATTCACCGTTACAGCGCTGACGCCCACCTCATTGGGCCGTGCCACATGCACCTGATGCTGACTGCCGCCGCTGAGGAAGTGTGCCGGTATCATCGCCTGAAAATCATCGCTCGTCAGCGGTCGCAACGAGGAGGCCTGCACTCGTCGTGTGGGTATCGATCGGGTTTTACGTTGGGTAGCAGGGGGTTTTGTTTTTCGGTAAAGTCAAATCAATTTTTAAGCAAGATTTCGTTAGGGTGGGTCGGTGTGGATTTAGAGAAAAAGAAAAACAAAAATATGTTGGTTTTTTGTCAATTTTGGATATCACATTTTGATGGATGGAATGCTCTATCTTTATGCATAAACTAAGCCTAAGCTGCCTAGAACCAAGAATTATGTACCATAGACGATGCAAATTGTGCAAGCGAATTATTGCCATGAGAGATTTTGTTCGTTGCATCATCTATGTTTGTGTTCCATAATGCTTGCTAACACGACATCAAATTATTTATGGATGATCCCTCTGGGGAAAACTGTAGCCTAGCTTTTTGGCTCTTTATTTTGATCTTTTTGCTGTTATTTTAAGCAAGAGAGGGACAGAGAACACACACAAATCAGTGCAGAACTTAAGCTAAATATATAAAAATATTTGATATGGTTATGTGGCATGTATCTGTAGCTATTGAATGATGTGGAAGGAATTTGTTTGTTTGGGTGGAGGGGAGGGGAGGTACAGTACAGACAAAACACAAGGCGCACACGGGGTGGGGCACATGCAAAACAAAACACATACAAATCCATTAGACGAGTACGAGGAGTATGAGGAGAGCAAATTGACAGGAGAGTTCTAGGAGTTCTATGGGGTTATGGATAATCTGGCAGAGATATGGATTAGCACAATTAGATATTAACTTAGGAGCTACAATATATTTTGTACGAGTATTTTTGGAAGGGGTGTTTGGGGGCATGTGTGTTCATGTTTCATGTTTCCATTTTTTGTTTGTTTTTTAGGCGCAAAATATCAACAACAATTTGCGTGCGACTCAAAAAACCTGCGCTGCAGTTCCTTAGGGGTTTTCGAATGAAAGACTTACCATTGATTGAATCATATAAATAAATAAATAATTTCTGCCAACTGCAGCGCAAGTTTCTTTCCTATAGGGGGTAGGAGGGAATCTTAAGTCTACCGCTCTGATCAAAAAAACGATCTTATGGACAAAAACATTGAGAATGACGTGCAATGTAGCTAAACGACAAAAAACTAAGAGTTAAGTCTACCAAAACGCTACAATTTCCATCTATCGCTTCCTTACCTGAGCCTCGCCCGAGTCCCCGCTGGCGGTGGAGGCCGCACCATTGGGCGGCGCACTATCGCCATCACCCAGGGGCACGGAATTGGTGCGCCTCGGTGCGGGCACCGGCTGACCCGTCGTCTTGTCGAACACTATCGCTGGGCCAGCGGCCGACGCAGCTGTGGCAGCGCCAAATCCATTCGTTTTGCTGCTTGGCAGCGTATTGTTGTTGTTGATGTTGGCTGCCACAGGTGCCACAGTTGCGGATGCCAGTGTGGGGGTGGTGGTGGCCAATGTGTTGTACTTGTACGGCTGCTCAACGTAACTGACATCGCCCACAGACCGCTGGAAGTTGGCTGCAGGAATACACAAACACAGAGACAAGAAAAGGTCGGTTAATCATCAACGGGGGGCATGGATATTGCGGGCTGGGGATGTCTACTAACCTGGTCGATTGGCCAGATAGCCGGATGGACTCAACGAGTTGAGCACGGCGGGACTGCGCGGACTTGTCGGCGGCTCTAGGGGGCCGCGGTACTCGCGCTGCAGGACGAGCCGCACAAAGCGCTGCGGTTCGGTGAGGCATGCCACGGCTGCATCATGATGCGCCTCCGTCATATCGTTGCCGTTAATCTGCGGTGGTTGCAACGCAACGGATACCGGATGGTACAATGAAATGCCATTAGCATGTGTCGGGTGAGCCCCTCGTTTTCATCCCCTACTTACCGCCATCACCCGGTCGCCCACCATGATTTTACCATCGCGATGAGCCAGTCCGCCGTCTGTGATGCGTGATATGAAAATGCCATCGCAATCGTCCTTGAACGGTGGCGAGCCCTTGCCCCCGGCAATGCTGAAGCCCAGTCCCTGGCCAATCTGATCGCGTATCAGCGTCGTGTGCAGCTGGATGTAGCTCAGCTGGGCAGCATCCTGCAAGCAAATCAACACAGAAATCAATCACGAGAGACCGAATGTCAGGAAATTATAGGATACACACCCTGCCATTCGGTAGCAGGCCATTGGGGGCCACAGCAGCAGCAGCAGCAGCAGCAGCAGGAGTCGGCTGCACGATGCTTTGGACAGCTGGAGGTGTGGCAAACACATTAGCAGAGTAACCATGCGCCGGAGCCACCATTTGCTGCTGCTGTTGATACTGATGCTGCTGGGGCACAATCTCGATGGGCGCTGGAATGTATCGCTCTGGCTGTTGCTGCAACTGTGGCACCTCTGTGGCCACCAGGGGACGCGTCTCCACAGATATCTGTGACACGCTGCCATCCTCGCTGAACACCGGATGTCCAATCAGACGCGTAACCTCACGCTGCACGACCAGCACGAGCACGGCGCCGCATGCCTTGAGCACCTGCACCGCCTGATAGTGGTCCGCTTCGACGACCACAATCCCATTGACCTTGAGCACTTTGTCGCCGACTTTGAGGCCCGCCATGTCAGCGGGTCCCTGCTCGGTGACGCGTGATATGAAGATGCCATCGTCGTCGCCCTTGAACGGTGTGGATCCCTTGCCGCCGGCAATGCTCAAGCCAAGTCCCGCTGCCGTGCGCTCAATGTGGATTTCGTACTGCTCCAAACGCAGTTCAGTGACGCCATCCAAGTTATCTACAAATGAAAAGAGATTCAATAATTAAAAAGGTGTTTCTGGTATAGATAATCGCGCTCTCGCTCTGTCTCTCTACCATAGTGCTGTCGCTGCCTTTCGTAATCTCTATCCACGGGATCATAGCTGGTGACGATTCGCACACGTTTGCCCTTCCTCTGCAGCGAGTTCATGGGACTGCGATTGGAGGAGGCCAAGGAGCTGCGAAGGCTACTCATAGCGGGGCTATTCCTGCCACTGCCCCCAAAGTTGCTCCCGTTCCCGTTGCTCCCATTGCTCCTTTGACCATTTCGCGGCAGGGTATTGTTACCCTCTTTGACTTTGATTTTTACATTGAACATTGCTTCAATTTTGTTTTATATTTGAGTGCAATTTTTAATATGATGGATAGCAGGCGGCAGCCAGCAGCAGCATCTTTGCCACGCAACTGTAGGGGATTCTTTTTTGTTTATTTCACTGCACTTTTCTTTTAATATGCGAGCACAACGAAACTTTCTTTGGCCATCGAACTGGATTGCACCCTGTTATGCATCTACTCATGTGCAGTGGCATGGAAACGTTCCCCAATCCCTTCCGAATATCAGTGAAAATTACATCGATTTAATCAAATTTAAAACGACCCACAAAACACCTATTTAGAATTTAGTTAGATTTTGTGCCTCGCATAAATTTACGCTTTAATGACATTCAAATGGGTCCAGGAAAGTTAGGCAGCGCATCTGGCACTTGGCCATAAACACGGCAGTCAATGAACCGCTGCGAAAAAGAGACTAGAAAACAAACATAAAACCAACGACCTTGGCCGGGTGTGGGGCCGAAAACCTTGCCACCTCTCACGCCCCCCACCACCGAGTGACCGACGGTACAACGAGTTTGAATAATTATTAAATAAATAAACAGACAGTCGACTCAACGGGGGAGGTTGGGCAGGCATCAAAATGGTGTCTGAAAAGAAAACTCTCAGACAAGCCCGCAGCACTGTTCGGGGAGTCCCACAGGTGAGGATGGCTCCGGGTGAGTGGAAATACATTTATTGCTTTCTTTTGAGCCTCCCAACCCGCCTCCTCTGCCAGCTAGCTCATGATTTGCACTCAATAAATCTGTCGGCACTTTTTGGCCAACAAAATCATTTTATTTGGGGAGGAGGCAAAAGGAAGACAGACAGCCAGGCAGACAAGTAAAAGAGAGACAATTTCAGTTTGTAATTGTATGCGAGTTGTTTCATGTTAATCAAAGTATAAACGAATGAGGGAAGAACTCTCCCAGCAAGCCAAACAAATTTCTGCCCTGCCTTTTGCTGCCATCCTGCCGTCGAAGTCGACATTAATTTTGTTGGCTTTCCGTCTCCTTCTACTTGCCAGACGACTTTGGCATTGATTCTCTTTCAATTTGATTACAATTCGATTCGTTATTGAGTTTCATAAGTTGAGCGAAATATATTCTTCAGCATTTTACACTTGAAGCAGCGAAATGTGTTTTATTCAGTGTTAAAGTACACTGGAAGAGTGTAAGTCCTTTGGCCCATCTGCCCTTCCTTATTACATGTTTGATTCCCTCATATTTCTGGACAAACAGAACGACATTCTTTATGGATTTGCAGGGCAGCCCACACATGCACAGGCTTCATTTTGCCATCTCTTGAGGCTTTTCTTTAGCTGCCAAATAGCCAGTAAGAGGAGCCTTTGCCAGGGTCAACAGGCAACAATAACCCGAGGGGGCGAAAGCCATAAAACAAAATAAGATTTTACTTTCCATGTGGCAGAAGGACGACACGTGCCGTGTGGGTTTTTGTGTATTTATTCAAGTGTGTGGGTTCCGGGACTGTATTTAAGGGAAAAGGTACAGCAACTAAAAGCACAGCCACGCAAATCACATTTTTCTTATCATTTTTTCTTCTTTACTCATTTGTGCAACTGTCGCTACCCTCTGTGTGTGTGGCAGCCACTTAAGCAGACATTTAACCATTTTACGATGACATCCGTGGCCGTGAAATACGGAAGGAAGGGAGCGCCCCCAAAAGTAATACACGCGTAAAAGAAATGTCATAAAGCATATAAAAATATAAAAATTTAAATACGCCAAAAGATGAGGAGCAAAAGTCCCCATAAAACGGAAGCATTCCTTTCCACCAGCAAGAGAAGGTGATGATGAGGATAAGGAGAATGGAGACGGAGCATGGAGATTCCCCGAATGCATTAGCATTCGCATATGTATCTGGAATTTGTGGCTCTGGCTGTGGCTGCTGCTGAATCTCTTGTGTGTGACAACGCAAACAAATGGCAAATTCCAAATCAATGTTGTCTCTGCTCTTTTTTTTGTTTTTTTTTTTTGTCATCTATATGTAAATGCGAACTGGCAGGAGAGGACTCCCCTGTTGGCCCTGTGAAATTAGCAGACAGTCGTCTGGACACATGCCAAAAAAAGCAGCAGCAGCAGCACACAGCACAAATCATATTTCAGATCCCTCCCTGAGTAGTCATCTGTGGACAAGAAAGCAAAACACTCCGACAACTACAGCTTGGATGCTGCCTCCATCTCTGACTCCGACTCATCCATGACATATTCGTTTGGACAAGTGGCACGAAAACTTTTCGAGGTACACACACACACACATTCAACGATTTTTTCTTCTTTTTCGTTTATGCAAATTCTGGAATACATTTCCCCCAGTCTGTGGTATTTTTTCAGCCAGTGACCGGATCGATTCAATCGATTTTAATTACAATTAAAGAGAAGATTCATTATTACAGCGGCATTTAAAGCGACTTAAAACCCCGCACATCTACCCATCGCTTCCATCGATATGGACACGTGAACTGCTGCTGCTGCTGCGGCTATGAAAAAATGCCAGAGTTATGGCCAGAGGAAAGGTCAGAGCAGACTCCATGATTAATTGCAGTTCAGGTTGAACGGGGAATAGTTTTGTTGTTGCCGCAGAGGAGTGCAAGGCGGATACGGAGAGGCATGCCGCGGTTGACAAATTGCAAGTGTTAAGCTTGGAAAATCAGCAGTGCGTCGGGGCCGCTTAAATGTGGCGACAAAAATTAATGAACAAAGTTTTTATGTTACCACAAAAAATGGAACAAAAAAAGCCACTGAAATATATCAACAACAAAAATGGTGGAAAAAAACCACCCACAAAGCTCTGCTCCTTCATTGTGTTGGGGAGGGGATTTGATCTAAAAGAGGATAATCGCCGTACAAATATCCCATAATCGAAAGGAAACATTCGCCATTCACGCGTGAACGTTGAAATGAATCAAAACTCTTCGCAAATAAGAACCCCAAAGGAAACCAAAAGGAGGTGCGGAATGGAGGGAAACTCCTATCTTATCTTAACTTGTGGAATGCCTAAGCTCGGTGTTGTGATAACAGAGAACCAAAATAAAAGGAGGGGAGACAAAAAAATAAAACGAATGAACGAACACCTCTGACGCGACACATAGGGAAAACAAAGCGATAACATATCTATAATATTGGTAGGGGGAAGGGAAGGTAGAATAACTTTTGTGAATCATTACGACATACTCGTATTTTTGGACACATGAAAGCATTACAAGGGGCAGAGCAGGCACCACAACACAGCCACAGCCACAGCACAGCAAAGTCAAGTGGCAGGTAATGACCTTGGTCCACCTGTCGTATCGGGATATATTTTGGGGTGGAGGTTGGGTAGGTAAAACTACGGAAACTACTACGTATGGAATCGTGTGTGAACAGCTTGCTGATTAACGTGTTTATAGAGAACTGTAGCTGGATGATATCATAGCTGGTTGGAGCTGGGGGAGGCAGTAGACTGATTGTCCCTCCGGGTGCCATGTTGATTGCTATTGCCACAGGCCACAGGCCACTCGCTGAATGTCTCTGCTGCTGCAACTGCTGCTGCTGCAGTCAGTTTGCTCGGCAATTACGCGAATTTTCCACATTTCCTACTGCTACCAACATGGTGGCGGAAAATATTGGAAAATGCGATGCAAAAATTCTTTTGACCTAACGGTTGGCACTCCGCAACTCTCTTTCTTTCTCTCTCTCTCTCTCTATGTGTATCCCTCACTCACTATACAGCTGGCATTTATTGCATTTTTGTTTGTTTTCGTCGCGCTGTCACTAATCGGATGGCAAATCCGGGGTAGGCGGCACACAGAAGACAGAAGACAGTTGCCCGGTTAAAGCGTAAAACTTAGCATGCAACTGTGAAATGCCCCCAAGGCCCGGCCGAAAAAACTTGAACAACATTTTGGGCAGCAATAGAAATTGCTTTTGTTTGCCAGAGGAAGAACCGAGCAGAGAAAATACTTTAAATTGTTATTTGCACAAGGGCTGTGTGTGCTGGGGCAGCAAAGATAACAGCAAACAATAAGTGCAACACGCAACAATGATGCGTTGTGATGAAAAGGGTGGCACAGAATTCAATAAGAATCCGATGCAATCAACGATACACAATACATAAATAATGAATGCCATTGCCTTGAGCTTATCAACGGTATTATTTATTGGCCAACATGCATCCCAGGACCTGCTGTTCGCTTTAAGGAAGGAAATGTGCAGCAGCAACAAATGCAGCTTATTGTTTGCTTTCGCAGCCAGCAAAAGGAATGCCAAAGGAATTGTGCAAATGTTGATTGTATTGCCGTAGCCGTGGCCGTGGCCGTAGTCTCGTCGTTTGCCAATATATCTAACCAGAAAAATCTCTGTGCAGGGTAAAAGGAAAAGGAAATGCCGGCGAAACCGGATATGCACACAAGCCAAGCGAGAGCACTTTTCGATGTTTGTCATCTGCAAATATCCAACATAGAGCAGAGAGCCACAGCCCTGCACTGATAGTGTTTGTGTGTGTGTGTGTGTGTGTGAATCCGGCCATGGGGCATGCCTCTATAAATAACACAAAATTTACTTTCAAGTGGCTCATTTTCGGGGGTATGCCTGACAACCTTCGAATGCAAATAGGGCATGTGCCTCTCCTGCCACTATGCACTTGGCTTTTCTCCGTAGCGTGTGGCGTTTGTGTGGCAAGGGTTGCTGGGTTTGGCAACCTTGAAGTGGCTCTGCATTTGCTTCGACAAATTTGCAGTTTGAAATTCAATTTAGAGGCATACGCCGCGTATGCGCAATGTGAGAAACTTTCCAGACGACTGACCCTGCCCGACTGCGCCGTCTCCATTTCTACGTTAAAGCGAATTATAACAGACAATCCAGACGAAGAAAGAACCAAACAAAAATCGATATCCACACGTCAGAAGAAAGCAAACACAAAAAAAGAAGCATTTCACACACTCTCTTCTTCCCTCTCTCTCTCTCTCTCTCTCTCTTTCTCTTGGGAAATGCTTCTTTTTTTTTGGGGGGCTTAACCTTCTCGTCTTTATGACTCAGGTGTCTCAAGTCTCAAGTAAAGTCTGTGCGAAGTGAATGCAACAACTTCAGCTATTGTTAGCGCTATTGTTTATGGCGGCGGGAGGCCTCTCTTTTGAAACAATAATACAAAGTTAAGTTAAACAAATTAGCAGCGAACGGTGCGATGCGGTGCGGTGGTGCGCGTCTCTCGCGACGTTGACAAAACGCAAGCGTAACTGAAAAATGACTAAAGCAGGCGGCCGTACAGAGTGGGCCAAGTGCCCCAGACCCCCACACACAATGGCAATTGCAATCAGTCGCTCTCCGGCATCTCTCTCTCTCTCTCCCTTAGTCACTCTGCCTCTGCCTTTGCCTCTCTCTCTTGCGGGCTCTCTGTGTACAGGTAGCGGCGGCACTCAAGCACTGTCCATAATAAGGCTGGCCACTCATTTCAGTTTCACTTTGAACTGTTTTTTCTATATACCCTGTTAATTGTGGGAAGACGAGGGTGTGCTGTCTATACGGTGAAGAAAGACTTGCAGAACCTCAGGGCCTTATCATATGAGTCAATCTTTTAGTCTAAAGCTAATGGAGTAATGTTTGTACAGCTGTATTTCAATGACTATTAGAGCTACATAAATCGTATGTTGTGGAGAGTCATAACTAAGAGCTTTCCATTACTTTGTATGATGGGAAGGGTGCTCCCAAGTCGTTATCTCTACCCGTGTATCATTCCCTCCTAATATTTTTTCATACTTGTTGCCTCATCGAGTGCGCTCCAGAGTCGTCTCTCTTCAGTCTCTCTTCCCTGTTCTCTTTCTCTGCTTTGTTTGGCTTGGCTTGGCTTTACTCTGCTTGTTTACCTCCCCTACCTTTTGAGTGAAGTTTGCACTGTTTTTGTCCGCTGTTCTTCGTTCTTTTATCTCTAGAGTTCTTCCATTATTGCATTGCGCTTGTAGTTGTTTTTCTCTCTATATTTTTTTATCAGCTTTTGCAAGCCAGCAGCAAACAGATATCGCTTGCTGATAAGCCCTGCCCTACCGCTGTCAGGGTGTGCGTGTTAGTAGTACGTGCAAGGCCTATTTATAGGCCAAGTTTGTGTGGAACGTTTGCCTGCTGCGTGTGTGTTGCTCAAGCCCAGAGCCACAGAGCGGCATCTCTCCGCACCTGTCGCTCTGTCGTAACGCGCTTTTAATCGTCGCCTCTCCCACTCTTTTCCTCTGTTGGTTTTTCCTCTACCTTTTTTTTGTTGTTGTTGCTGGCATAATCAACGTTGAGGTACGGACATAGGAAGTACAAGCCATTGAAAGGCCTAGACCGACCGTGTGGGATGCAGGAAAGAACCACACTCATGTATGTAAATGGGGTCATGGGTGGCTCTCTGTGGTTTTTCTTTATGATTAAATTTCCACTTTAGCCTCTGCTGCAAAATGAGTGGAAATTACTGGACACTCTACACGGGACACGGGACACTGGACACTGGAGCCTCCCTCTACACATATCGATTTCCCAATCAATTATGTACCTCAAAGCACTCTGGTTTACTGTAATGCACAGCATGTGGATGCTGCATTTATATTGTAAATTTAATTACTTATAATAATTTTGATATTTACCTTGGTCCCCTGCCTGTGCCTTTGTGTTGCCTGTGGGTATGGGTATGGGCGATAGCGAGACATCGAATGGATGCTGTGACTGTTCTTGTCCCTCGGAGTCGACATCGGCTGTCTCCTCCTCCTCAATGGGCGATGTAACCTTGCCCAGCGATGAGTGTGGCGGTGTGGGGGTCTCGTTGCGCTCCTGTGTGGCCAAGGCATTGGCCAGTATTTCGTTGGCCTGCTTGTCGGTTAAATGCTGAACGCGTTTGTTCTTCAAATGATGGGGAGTGTCCCTGGAAATTAAGAGGAATTAGTGGATTAGTGTAAGTGCTTGTTAGATTTTCCCTCTGGCTCTCTCGCTTACCTTCTGTGTAGTTTCGGTGGACGTTTGTAAAAGTCATCATCCTCGCCCTCCACCTGAAAGCCCACACGGCGATCGGATTCCTGGAAAAAGCGGGAAATGAATGATTAAAAACGATTACAGAAACATTCTAAAAACCCTTTCTAAACTTACGAATTCATCTTCCTGCTCATCATCGTCGAGCACATCTTCGGAGGCAGCCACAGTTGCAGCTGCCGCCACAATCTCAACCACAGCTGCGGCTGGTGCCGCCTTTGTGTTGTTGTGGCTGCTGTTGTTGCCTGCGGCAGGTGCTGCAGGGGCACCACCTGTTGGAATGCTGCTGTTGTTGGAGGAGGTCTGCTTGGAGTTGACACCAACGATGGGTTGCTGCACTTGCTGCGGTGGTGCCTGTTGGTGATTATTCGCCAGGGTGCGCGTCTCGGTTGGTGTCTCCGCTACTTTGGTGCCATTCTACAATGTAAAATATACAGTAGATGTAGTATACATGTATAATATAAGTAAATGTAGCAACTGAGACTTGTATAAGATGTGTAAGAGACATGTAGAAACATAGTGGCGCCAGCTGGTGTCGTGCATATACATTTTTTTTACATGTAGAAACGGGGAAAGGCACGATTTTGATTTCGTTTTCCAACTTTGCGTTGGACAATCAAAAATATATAAAACTTGGCGGATAAACAGTTAATGCCTTTGCAGACGTTTTAGTTTTAGGTGCTGTTTCGCTACTCTAGCTAACCCATCTAGGGAATTCTATTAAGGTTATTTATGGAAACAGACACACTAATAAGGAAATTTGTAATTAAGATATTTTCTGTAAACAGGGAATAACTTTCCCTTACTTTTTAAACAACTTCCTCAAAGCGCAAAGGCGGATGAACCCCCAACCCCTTATCATTATGACTAAGTCTATTTATTAATCATACGATCAATACGTGTTTAATGCCACAAATGAGTGTTACATTTGCCGGAGTCACTGATAGATAGGGTGCCATGGGGATAGCCTGTTATCTACTTAAACCCACACAATTCTATTCTATTAGATCCTAAACACTCACCTCCTCCGGTAGCGTCACCAGATTGGCATTCTCCTCGTGGCGACTGCGCTCCACTTTCAGCTTTTGCGCCTTGGCCTTGAGATCCTTGGGATGCGGCGTATTCTGGCGCACGAAGGGTGTGTCCTTCTCCTGGGTCGCCTCCTCCGAGAACTTGACCACCGTGCGCGATGGCTCTCGCTCCTCGAAAGGTTCCGAATCTGATTCCAGATCGCGTGCTATATTCAAGGCGAAAAATCGAACGAACATTTCCATTAGCAAGCAATTAATTGAGGTGTACGAGTTGGGGGATGTGTGTGAGTGTGTTTCTGGGGTTCTCAGATTAGTGGAACTGCATGCCCATGCATACTAGCACACGATATAATAGCTACCATATAATGTACTATATAATAAATATGCATGCATGTGTGTACGTGTTGAGAGTGTTATTTATTATATACAAACAGATTTATGTATGGCTAAAAGCGTTTAATGGTGTACGGTTTTGGCTTTGCGGTTTTTGCACAAATCAATAAATAATACGACTATTAAAAGCAAGAAGAAACTATTTTTGGGCGCCGGGCGTAAACATTTCCGTAGCAGCAAGTGGCAGCAGGCCAACCTCGAAAACCTGGACACAACCACCACCATACCACACCCTCTCTAATCCATCAAGTGCTTATGAGCGGTCTTATCTGTGTGTGTATGTTATTGTGTGTGGCCGTAAATTTTCACACATGTAAACAACATAAAAGTTGCAACATGTGGCAATCAGAGAAGCACCTCTCAGGCACAGCCACACAGTCTCAGCCTCTTCAGGCACCACCAATCAATCTACGCAGCAATTGCAGCCGCCCTCCCCCTCTGGCTCATGTGGCGGCTGGGTGGTTGGGTGGTCTGTTTGTTACAAACAAATAAACAAGAAATTATTTCTAGATTCCGAAGGTCGATGCTGTTGATACCCTTATAGGAATATGGCATCAAAATGTGGCCCACGAGGAAGTCTTTTGATCGAGGATCACAGGAGGAAATGGAACAGAAATGACCGAGGAGGGCTGCTGGATCATTAGGCTTTGCCGAGAATTAATAAATATATCAAATGGATTGTAGGAAGTACATAGAGGAATCTGATAAATATCTTCACAATTGAGGTTCTAGTTAACACAGAAACATTCTCAAGTGTTCTAAAATACTTCCTCCTGTGGCATGCAATCATCTTCATAATCATATCGCCAGAGCTCCCCGCTTCAAGAGTACAATAAAAGTATGTAAATCATTGTTTATGGCACTTTCGTAACACAGGGCCGTGTGTCCTAAGTAGCTGCATCCACACTGTCGTAACTTACAATCGTTAACGATTTTTGCATAGAACAAAAACAACCAACAAGTTTCCTCACAGCGGGAAGGAACTTAAATAAACTGAATTTTGTGGGTCAGCCAAGGCGACATTACATACGATACGACATGCATATATGAAGATTTATGCAAATTAAATAAACTGAAAGAAAACAACATGTTGTAATGACAATCATTTAAAGTCATGGGGTGCGTTAGGTGGTGCCGCCTGCTCTTCCTCTCCCATGACCGTCACTCAAAAGCGCTTTAATTGGATAATTCGAACGACGACGCTTACATAGATCTAATATATACCTACTCGTATATATAGTAATGGGAGGGGAAAACAATGAAAGCCAAAGCCAAAGCCAAAGCGGTTTGATCTTGAAATCGTTCGCACATAACATATATGTCTAAATTGTTTGAGTTATGCGAGGTTCCATTCGGTTGTGTGTGCACTTTACCCATCATTGTATTGTATTGGATTGGATTGGATCGGCAGCGGAATAATCAGTCAAATATTTCGAGTGTGAGACAAGTTTTGTGATGCTTGGGCGGCTTGGGTGAGATCTATGCTGATGATATATACTATTTATAGGCTAAATCACTTCTTCAATGCGACAAAACCCGTTTCGAAGCCAAACAACAGTTACGACATTTAGATAGATATTCATTTCGATTGGGGAAGGAACTACGCAACAGAATGGCAAGCCACAAAACAGCAAAGCAACAGAAACAACTACAACACCAACAACAGTAACAGGTTGAATCATCCAGTGGATGGGACACAGTAAGGACTCTGAAAGGGGGAAACTAAGACTCTAAGTTAAGGATATATTTACATACAAAGAAAAAGCAATGTTTTATTTGAAGTTCGGTAAAAAATTAATATTTTTCCTATAAATATCGATTTTTAAATCGATCTCCCCCCCGAGAATATTTCGCTAAACAAACGCAACTAAAGATATATCTATATCTGTATAATATCGAGAATTTCAAAGCTCGAGGCGCAGCCCAAGACTATCTTCATGTTGAAAAGGTTCCCTCGCAAAACCCCCAAAGCCACGTTCCACTGTAATCTCCCCGTGTGACAGGCCATTAATCAACCGTTAGTTTTGGTGGCACACATACACACACAAACACATACACACATTGAGAGCACTCGCAAGTCGATTAATAATATTAAGCAACGCAGCGTCATACACAATTCTAATTACATTGCCCGACGATCTTGTTCCACATTCTCTTCACAAATCGACCGGCCCCACAGCCGCCGCCACTCCCTGCCATGACGTCACACAATCGTTGACATCACTCAAGTGGGATGGGGTGGGGTGGGGTGGGGTGGTTATACTCTTTGCACCAGAAGCAAAACAGACACACTTTCATGATGTGTTTGTGTGTGCAGCATGGAAGATAAATGGAAATGGATCGTGGCAAAGGCAGCAGCATTTGCGGCCAACAAACAAATCGTCTGTGTGGGGCTGTGGGTCGGCCTGTGGGAACCGCTTTGATCATCTGGCATGCTGCCACTGACACGACAGCCAAAACTGCTCAATCAGATGGCGCAGTGGTGGCAGAAGATCCATGTCCATATCCACATACAAATCCAAACCAGAGATGCCCCATTTGCCATTCCTCAAGTGGCAGTCGGACTGGGACTTGACTGGGACCGGGGCTCGCGTTTTCGATCTTACGCACTGTGGAAAATTCTGGCATTTTTCAGTACCAGCCGTCAAATGAATCGAACATAAACAGAAAATAATAACATAATCAAATCATCCATCTATCCGTACATACAAATGTATGTATTTATATACAAATGTTCTATTGGGTGCGTGTGCCTTTTATCAGATATTTGTGAATAATTTTCCCAGCCAACGCCCGGCCCAGAGATTGTTACTACACACAAAAAAACAAGAAACACTGAAAGCCGAAAACTAGTTGTCATGACGTCATTTGTTGGTAGAGGGAAACCGGTTATTGTTTAGGTTTTCAAAACACTTAACGAAACAAGCATTGACAGTCGCATAATGCTGGACAGACACCGGCGGCAGCCAAGATGCGTTTCAAAGACAAGTTTCTTTCGGTAGAAGTATGATCTAAGAATAGCTTTGAGCATGGTAAGAAAATGTAGATGGTAAAGAAGAGAAAGGAAAGACTGGGAGTATGTTCTTCTTTCTATGGAGGTAATCTATTTTAACGTAAGAACTTTCAAATAGCTTTCGAAACGTTCCCACAAAATCAAAGCACATCTATGGATACGAACATGAACATGATTGGTTTTGGTTCTATAAGCATCAGTCTCATTTACAAACATATAACTATACATAAATATATATCTGAATAAGCATTCAAAGCAGATAGACAAGACACATGCAAATGTTTTGGGGTCAGGGCATGCTATGAAAGCGAGGCTGTAGAGTGGAGTTGTCAGCACAGTGTAAACCCGTGTGTTATTGCACAACTCTACTCTATATTATAGATATCTGTTAATTGTACAAAATGCTGATGAATGGCGATAGATAGACAACGAGGTAATACATGACGCAAACCTTTCTGTTGATAACTGAAGAATTCCATTGAATCGAATTTTTCGCTTGATCTATAAAGCGTCGTGGGTGGATAGTCTTTCGATTGATTCAATTGATTGGAGGATCGACACACACAAAAACACACAGAGAGGCGAGAGAAAGGCATTTAGAAGGTGGGTGGATTGATGGCAGTGAAGGATGTGTGGTGCAGAGTGTTGGAAGAAGAGCGCGTGATGTGGCAGATTGCAAAGAAAGTAATCCAAGTAGAAAAACAAGTCAGTAGGATAACAATTAAGGAAAAAGGTGCCAAAGCACATATTTCAATAGATATTTAGTTACACAAGGAAAAGTAAACTTGCTGGTGGAAATAAACGATACATAGAAACATATGTAAAAGGCCAACAAATATAATTTCAAAATCTTTGCCAGTTTGGAATTTGTTCCCACCAAAGAGCGAGAGAGATAGTGAAAGGTTCTTGCACAAATGTACACAGACCTCTTTCGGATAGCAGCTCGTTTCTGTTTGCGATGTTTGCTCACTTTTGGCTACCTCGCTCGCTCGCTCTCTACGGCAGGCAGTACGTAATTGCACTTGGAGAAATACTCTATCTGGATTTTATTAAAGATAGCTGGGAGCTTGGAGAACATTCAACCTTAAAGGACTTTTTTCTGTACGTTTCAAAGTAATGTACTTTTCAAAATAAAATCAAAATCTTTTCCAGATCAATTTCTGTGTGAAGTTCTGCTTCTAAAATGAAATTTCTTTAAGTGCACCACGGATGGTGGTATCTTATCGCGGAAATGCGAGCATAGATTGAAGATATTGCACAACGATAGGGGGGAATAGGGCACAGTGCCGTGCCGCGGCAATGGGGTTTTGTGGAATCTATGTCAGAAGCAGATAAGAGGGCGCATAACTTGGCCAAAATTGGGCTTTCCATTGCCGTAGCAAAACAGAGGCCAAAACGAGCAAACAGCGCCACAAGCCATGTAGAGCCCATAAACCCACCCATTCCATAAATGGTCGACTTTTGCCCCCACTTGTGGGTGAAGCTTACCTGGTGTAATGGGCTGGTACTCCTGCTGGGGCAACAGGTAGCAGGAGAGCACCTGCTCGCCCGTCTCCGCGTCCGTGTCCGGCTGGAAGGTGAGCAGCGGCTGCGACTGGTTCTCCGAGAGCCACACGGCCTTCAGCTGCAGATTGACCAGGGAGTAGGGCAGATACAGCAGCTGGTTCCCACTCACATCCAGCACATGCAACACGGTGCAGTTGCCCAGCTCTGGCGGCAGCTTCTTCAGCTTGTTGTCGCGCAAACTGAGCACACCCAAGTTGGCGCACTGCCCGATCTCGAGTGGCAGATACTCCAGGGCATTCCGATCCACATTTAGATTGCTCAACTTCGTCATCCGGCCAATGGAGGCCGGCAGCTCCGACAGGAAGTTCTCTGTTAGTATAAGCTCCTGCATATTGTCGCAGCTAAAAGAGATTAGAGATTAGAGATTAGAATAAAGTATCTCGGGGGGGTTGGCGGCTTCCTTGCTACTTACTTCCCCAGGGTATCGTTTAATCGCTGCAATCGATTTTGGTCCAGTTTGAGGATGGTCAGACGACTCAGTTTCGCTATGCCGTCGGGCAGTGTCTCGAGCAGATTCTGTGCCAGATCGAGGTCCGTGAGGCTGACCAGTCCGCTGATCTCGTTGGGCAGCTCCTCCAGCCGATTCTCGGACACATCGAGGTACGTTAGTTTTGTCAGCAGCCCCAGCTCTGGGGGCAGTCGCTGCAGTTGGTTGTGATCCAGCCAGAGTTCGTGCAGCCCCGGCAGATAGCCCAGATACGGGGGCAGATCTTCGATTTCGTTGTCGCCCAAATCGAGGCGTTTCAGCTTCGTCAGCTGGCTTATTGTCTCGGGCAGATGCTTGAGCAGATTCTCGCGCAGCTCCAGCGACTCGAGCTGTGTGAGGCTGCCAAAGTCCGCTGGCAATGTGGTGAGCGACATGTCGTTGAGCCCCAGAATCGTAAGGTTCTTCAGCTGTGTGAAGCCCGATGGCAGTTTGGGTATCGGGTTCGAGCTGAAATCAGCCACCTGGAGGCTCTGCAGATGCTTGATGTCATCGGGAATGTCGGGTATGTCTGCAAAAATAAATAAAAAACGAGGTTTCAATATGGTTTTTCTTCGCTCAATTATCAGGTTACATCAAATCTTTCACTCTCTCTCTCTCTCTCTCTCTTGTGGCTGTAGCTATGGCTGCCCACCGTCAGCCCGAACGCCCGTTGTGCGCATTTTTTTACGCATGAATTGGCTTAAAGGGCCGCATTAATATATTAATAAAAGTTCTATATATATTTCACTACTGAAAGCAGAGGAGTGAAAGAGAGAGAGTCCTTAGCATATGGCCTTGTTTTTGTATATTTAATCGGTTTTCATTTTCACAATTTGCAATCATTATTGCCAACTCATTTAAATACATAACAGTTTCTGCGCTGCAGAATTATGAATTTATAATCAAATGAAAAGGGAAAGTTTGCTGCCTCGGGAAGAATTATCTAATAAATCTAATTTAATAAATTAAATTGAAAATATTTTACATGCTACATTTTCCTGGCCGTACTCTTGCTGGTTTTTCATCATTTTCATATTTTGTACTCCACATAAATAAACCTCTCAATATTTTTCCTCTAATTTCCTGCCGCAACTTTCCTTCTCGTTCCCTCTCCTCTTTCTTCGGGGTCTTTGGGCTTTTGTTATTATTGTTTGCAATGTTGTGCGGCGATAGAGCGAGACGGAGCGTAAAATGACAAACGAAACTTGTTGATCGAATAAATTTCGAGCTGCCAAAGCGGAAATGCGCACGCAAAAGGACCCACACGGCGCTTGTATCTGTATCTGTGTGTGTGTATCTATGGCTGGCGTATCTCTGTGTGTGTGTGTGTGTCTGTGTGTGTTTTTGCCACAAACGCCGTTACACGAGCGACAACTCGTATTAAAAAAAAATAACCACGAAAGCGGCAGCACAATATATGACAGGTGGAAGGCGGCGCGGGGGCGTGTCCGTCCGGCGTGCAGTGTCAATCCTTTACAACACTGTTTAAAGTGACCCAGAATCGACGTAAAAAGGATGTGGGCAACCACCCACATTCACCCACTGAGCAGAGGTCAACCCATGCCCTTTGCGTCCACATTCAATCCAACTAATACGACACGTGGTGCAAGATTCGTAGCGCCTGCCACAATGTGGCTGAGTGGCAGTGTGGCAGGTGGTGGAAGGAAGTAGCATGAACCAGAAGGGGGCGTGTGTGTGTGTGGGGGCAAACAATGGACAAGAGTGTGGCCTTCGTGGCATTGTGGCGGATGTGGCCAGTCACCTCCCACCATTCGAACACAAATGTATTCGGACAGTTGGAAAATGTCGCCATTTGTGGCAGGTTGCCGATAAGCCATTTGCAAGTGCAGCAGCAACAGAAATTTGCTGTCAAACATGAGATCTTCGTTGAGGAACAGCAGCCTTTAATTAAAATAAATATGGATTTATACATATAAATGTACAAAAATAAATGAATTTGTTGTGCATTTTGTTGTGCTGTTCTCTTGCCAGACCTTGCACTATGACCTCGAGGGTCCATCATTGAATGAGAGCTCTTTTTCAATGTTCTTTTGCTTAAAATAATTGCAAACACATCAAGAATATTCACTCTTTTGTATGATTAGTGGTGTGTAAAGTTTATAAATGAAGAACACATGTTTGAAATTAAGGACAGAGCATCGAATATCGTAATCAACCCCTGATCTCAGAAGATCTTCAAGGAGTTTTGGCTTCAGGTTCACTCATTTCATAGTGTTCAAAGATTTGTCGCTGTGCCTGCTTAGCCCCAACGCTTCCATTTATCACATCGTCAAAATGCAGTTTTTTCTTGCTCAGAAATCCACCCCAAACATCTTCTATACCTTTGTAATATCAGATAAAAACTTGCTCTTGCTCTTCAAACTTGCAAATTGTCAAAAATGGCCTTCTTGCAACATTGTAGCCGTAGCCTTCATCTTCAGATTTCAGACAGAGGCCACAAACACAGATGCCATAAGAGTCAAGAGCATCAGCATCAGAAACAGCAGCCCCCCAAACATCAGTCAATCCGTCAAGCAAAACACTCAGCACGCATTGAGATCCCGCTGTCGGCCACAGACAAATGGACACAGCAAGGCGTCACACACACACACACACACACACGGACGCATATGGGGCAATCAGAAACATATGGGGGATTGCTTTTGCTCTTGCTCCACATTACTCTCTCTCTCTTTCTCTGGAGATGCGATGCTCAGATGTACGGCACAGTTGGCGGTCATTAGATGGAACGACGACGACGACGACGGTGACAAACAATTCATTGACCTTTCATGGCCCAACGATAGAGATAGAGAGTGGCCGAAAACTGGGGCAACATTTTTTGGGAAACCCATTAAGAGAGACGGGAAATGACGGGAAATTAGAGGAAATTCTTTCGACCAGGCGGCACCCAACTGGGAAGTAAAACCGGAGGGTAATTCGTAATCAATTTATGCAATTATGCAACACAGTGGCACGTACAGAGAGGCACACAGGCGGCATACTTCAAAGAGACATTTATTTAATCATTTTTATCATATATTATCACGCTCTGTAAAAAGTGAAAGAACGATCCAAAAATAGCATCCGAAATGGTGCAAAATCGGGAACAATGTGGCAGATTTTTTATAGCGCTGATAAATTTCACCAACAAAAAAGAAAACACGAGAACGCAACAGACGGAAGCAAAATCTGATGGATGGGGTGCAGAGCAGCAGCAGGAGGAAGAACAAGGATCAGAGTGGATATATCGACAAAGAATTTACCCTCTAATGGGGCAGGATAGAGAAGATGTGAAACTAAGCGCAAAAATTGTGAACAGAAGAGTTCGGATTATTTCATTCGCATAGGGAAAATTCTTATAGCAAAACGGAACCCCTACTTTTATGCACTTTTGTCGTAATATCCCACAAATACAATATACCCGTTGGGTTTCTGCAAACATCAGATATTAATAAACGGATGCGCAACGTCAGCAACGACAACAGCATTGTGGATGGGGAAAAACCAAGAAACGAAATGACGAGGAGCCGCGAGGGGGAAGATATTCACATGTGAAAATTCTTTTCAATGTCATTGAACGAAGAAAAATTTTAAGAGCATGCCCGCCGCCGGCAATAATCACACTGAACATCGGCGAAAAATGAAATGATTTGTCAGTATATCAAGGCAATGGCGAGACAGAGAGACAGGCAGAAAGACAGACAGACAGGCAGGCAGACAGAGGGGCAGGAGGAGGAGGAGTTGGCAGGTTTTTGAGGTCATCGGTGTATGTGTCTCAATAGGAAGACTGCACTTAATGAAGATGATGTCGAGAAGGATGGATATGCAATGCATATTTCATTTGTCAGGGCCTTTCAATCCCTGCCTTGAATCCTGCCCTCTGCCTGTGCCAGGCAGCAGGATAAAAGGATACCTCGTTATGAGCTGCTGCTGCTGCTGCTCCCTACTCTTCATGGCACATTGCCATTTCGCTTATTGCATCCTATCCATGCAGCAGCCACCAAACCGATGAAAAGAATGGGGCAGCGGAAGCAGCGGGGGAAAATCATTGGAGAGAGTCCTCTCATTGTCGTCTGTCTGAGCTGCAATTTTATGGCTTTGACTGTGGCTGTGGAATTGTGAGAAAGTGCTCCTCCACAGAGTGCTGCTAAATCCCCAAGCGTCAACACCAGGAAAATGGTTTTCCGTCACGGAACGAGTGCCGCTGCGGGCGAGCTGCCTTTTGTGGCTGCTGCTGCACTGAGCCGAGAGCATAACGTGGGGGAGGGATAAGTGATAAGTGGAATGCCTCTTAATTGTTGCAAGATTATTGCTTGCAACAGGTGCCACTCAAACGATGCACAGCGCATCTGTTTAGTAAAAGATTTTTAATTGATTTTTAAGCTTTTTCCCGTCCTTGGGATTTAAATCTCATTACTCAAGCCTCCTTTAGATACATTCGCTGAGATACACATCTGCAATTGACATTTTGAAACCTCTCTCAAAGTCCTTTGTTTCCTGCATGACATAATCAATTTTCTTAACATTTTTCACTTAACCACGACCTTTGGACAGCTGTGCCAAATTTAGCGGGTGGCTTGTGGAGTTTGCCAATCAGTGACACAAAAACAGGTTCAAGCAACAAACAAAAAGTGTTAGCTAACCAGAGGAGCTGTTTTGCCAGACATCTTTTAAACAGCTTTTCCATACTCAAACGCTGCGTTTCATGATACAGCTGAAAGCTGCAAGCTGCAAGCCATTGGATGTCGAGGAGTGATTTGTTTTTGATTTTAACTTAACCCTACCTTAAAAGCGTGTATTCTTTGAAATCAATGATTGAATCAATGGATATTCTAAGGTTTTTGCATACAAAGAACTTAATTTAATTTAAATTTGTGTATTGTGTTTGCTTTAAATAAGTTTGTTATTTTTTGGATCGAGTAAAACATTGTTTTCTTTAGGCAATTGAATAATTTTGCTGCTTGCTGCTTGATGTTTGGCTGTTGCCGTGTAGAATCGCAGAAGGCGGAGGAGGCGCTGCCAACGTTTGATTTGTTATTTTTACAGTAGAAGAAGAAACCGATGGATGCCTCGTGCTGCCGCCTGTTGCCGCCTGCCTCCGAGTAGTTTTTAATTGCCTGCCCCTTTTGATGGTGGAGGGAGTGACGTCAATCGTTTGCCAGTGAAACAGATCGGAAAGGTGGATCGTAGGCATGGATTTGCATGCTTCAATGATTTCTTCAAATTTTTTCTGATTCTTTTCTGACATTTTGATTTAGTTTTTGTTTAATTCTATTAATTATACAATTCTTTTTTGGGTATTCGTTGTGTTTGTCCATCTGTCTGTTTGTTTGTTTGTTTGTTTAGTTGGCACATTGAAATGTTCCCATCACTTGGACTTTTGGTGCTGGATACTTCACTCATTGCTTGTTGGCCAATTTCTGGTTCATACAAAGTCATGGCCGCTAATGGACACCACGACAAAAGCTTTGGACTTTGATTTTCTAGTCTTTGTTCTCGTTGATTCCTTTCTCCCCCGAGTTTTGC